ATTTTTTTCTATTTAATAATATTTATTTCAAACTTGCAAGTTGAGTTAAAAGTTATGGTAATAAATTCATTTTTTTTTTATTAAAACTTTCACTTTAAAGAACAAAAAGAAGTAGGTTCAAAATGATTACTTTTAACATATTAAAAATCAATAATAATTTGAAAATAATTAATTATAAAAATTATATAATATATAATTAAAATAATTACTAATCTGGATATAATTAAGGAAATAGGAGTTGATGTTGGGTTGGGTTGGTTACATTTTTAACTTTATAATGCTATAACTCATTGAAAAGTGTACGAATCAACACAATTTTTTTATGAGAAATAATATTTTTTAATAATCCCTTTTTCATTCGACATACTTTATCTTAATCAGGGTATTAATAAGAAACTAGCAGATAATGTAGCTTTTGTAATTATCCACCAATTTCTTAGAATTAAACACTATCTACTGATTTGCATCGAAGCGTTTCTTATGATAGTGATTTTAATCACTGTCAGATTAAATCTATACTGGACCCAACTATGCAACATCCCCACTATGCCGCGACCCCACTGTGCTGGGTTTTTTTTTATTGTTTATATGACTAATTATAAGTACATACAAAAATAAAGTACTGTCATTTTGGATAGTTTAATAAAATAATTATTTAATAAAATAATGATAAATGTTAATAAATAATGTCTGTTACTTACTTATTTTGGGTATTAGGATTTTGCTGGAACATATCAATGGCAGCTTTGGCAACTGTATCAAGCCACTGGTTTAAATCAGGGGAATTTGTAGTGAATTGTTTAAACATGAGTTGCATTTCTAACCAAGACATTCTCAGAGTCCATTGGTCAGAATTCTACAAATTAATTTTTTTTATGTTTTTACTATCTTATATATATATTAAACATATAAATAAATCTTTTTAATAATAGGTTACTTCTAAAATATTTGTAATGATGGTCTTTGAATCCAATGAAATATCAAAACCACTTGCCGTTTCAGGATAACAGATCATATGCAGCAGTCTTTGAGCCTAATATATGTAATAAATATAAATTAATATAAATTATAACTATTACTAAAGAAATAATACAACTCAAATTTTAACCTGTTTGGAAGAAAGCATACTATCTAAAAGCATATCTTGATGACACAGTTCTTCTGGATTTTGTAAGCAGCGTTCTAATACCCATTCTTGACTACATATTTCTCTAAGTACAAATTGTGCTAACTCTGAAAGACCTGGAGTTTGAGTGTCAGAATTTCCAAGTCTACAACATTTTAAATTATATAAAAATCAATCTGATAAATTAATTTTAATTTACATACCCTCTTAATTCCATTAGTAAATGATCAGCTGATCCCCCTAAAATATCAGTTGTGCCTAAAATATGACTGATGGACAATTCACCAGCCATTTTACTAGTACCTCCAGGAGTACTAACTTGACTAGAAGGTGATTTTTTTATAGACTGATTGGGGCGCTGAGCTGTTGCATCACCAACAACAATAATAGCTTTAAGTACAGCTAACAAAGGTCCAACTCTGATATTATTATGAGCTGCCGCTAATAAGTGTCTATCACAACTTTGTTTAATACTACAACCAGAACTTGTATTTGGTATAGGATTTGGTGATGCACCTATATAAAATAATTTAAATATTTTTAGAAACACAATTCAGAAAACACATTTGTTCTCTTACCAACTGAGTATAAACTAGGTTGTGGTACTTCTGTAGTTTTAAAAAGACGTAAAAGTAAGTGGCAAGTCAATCTTGCACTTGCTTCTGCTTCAGGATCTGTATCAGCTGCTCCATGACCTATAATTTACAAAACAATATATTTGTTTTAATAATAAAATTTGTATTAAATATAAATTATATTGTACCTTAATTTTTTTAAACATTAATAAAAATCAAGGGAAGTATTTTGTTTACTATGATGTAGCTTATTTTCCTTTAAGCATTTATTTTTATTCTCAATATAGTAAAATGGTATTCAGAGAACATGGGGAACTATTCTCTGATCTAAATAAGGTACTGCATTAAGGTGAATAGTGTGCATAACGAACTTAAAAAATTGTTTACAATTATGTCACAAAATAGAACCAGTTTATACATGTTGGATACATTGTTGTTGACAAAGTATATATACTTTTATTAAAGTTTACCGCCTTTAGCTGGGAAACAAAATTTTCAGTTTTTATACTATTGTTGGAAACAAAATTTAAAGGACGTTTATGATTTTTTGTTGATGACTGTCGCTAATTTTTGTTCTCAACATTGTTTACATATAACATATAAATTTTACAACAACTTTAATGGATAACAAGCATTTTTTCATCAAATAAAATATAAAAACACTTAAGATTAAGATTTAAAGATAATTTAAATTACATAAAATAATATACAGCTTATTATAAAATAGAATAATGATAATTTAAAAATTAAAAAAAATTTCATACCTTCATTACTAACAGTCAATAAAGAAGGTAAAGCTACATGTACCACAAAATCTTCTAGAGAAAAACAATGTCTTGCTTTAAAAAAAAAATATATATATATATATATCAGTTAATTTTTTATTTTGCATTATAATTATAAAAGCATACCAACAAGAATTGATGTAAATAATGCTAGTGAGTTGTGCACAGCTATATCATTCATTTTAACATGTGAAAAAACATCTCCAAATATAATAGGATTATTTGATGAACAGCATAAAGCCATAAGAACTCCTATAATTGTTAAATAAAAACAAAATATTTAAAAAGTTTTCCATGTAATTACTACCACTCATTTTACATAACATGAATTAAATTATATTACCTAGCCACTCTGAAGCAAGTGAACTACAAGAAGCAGTCAATTCTGCACTGAGAATAGCTAAATCATTTAATCGTTCTATATCAGTTTCAGATGCAACTGCTATTATTACATTGCACACTAAGCTATAACGATTACTTTGTGATTCATTCAGCTGCCTGTACCATCCAGAATCAATTTTATCTAAAATCATATATCTTTCATATATTTATTCTCATTTATTAAAAATAAATACCCATACATCCTCTTCTATATGATAAAATAAGTTCACTCATGTAACTAGAATTCCAGTTTCCTTGTGTCATAGTTGAAGGTTGTAAATTTGAATGCAATGTTTGTCTTATTTTAATATAAAGAGTATTAAAGGGTTCTGTACCAGGAAGGCGACCTTTTAAAAGTGGAGCTGCTGATAAATATAAATCATATAAATGGGAAAGAACACATCTTTCAACACTTAAACACTCAGCAGGATTTGAAACATGTTTTACAACTCTATAAAGGTTTTCAAAAGCTCCAATAACTTGCTCTTGATTCACTACAATTTAAAATTTATTTAAGAAAAAATAATTTAATTACACAACATTATTTTAAATTTTTTATATTAATAGTTAATTTTTATACTTACATAATAAACAACAGTGGTATCTACGTAATACTCCAACAATATATAGAACTAATGATGTGGTATATAAACGCACTAAAGATGATCCTTTAGTAGTTAGTTGTGCTTCAACATCAGGTATATCCATTAAGATCTAAACAATTTTATTATTAAAAATTTTACAAACGTATTTAAAATGTAGAATTAATTTTCATATATATAATATATAATTTTTTTTATTAAAATATGAAAATTTAATTGTAAGTACAAGGTGATTCTTTTAACGGTAGCCACTTAATTTCTTTAAAAAAAAACATTTTCTTAATCATTTTTTTTTTGGATTTTGTGAGTTACACATTAATCTCTATGTAACTGTTAAAAATGTTTAGATCTACCCCTTATAACTTAAAGGTATCTCAACTTTATTTTTTTAAATGACAATATATTTTATGTACTTCTTTTTCTACTTCTTCTTCCCCTTAATCCCAACTACTTGGGGTCGACCTAATGTTGTCCCTGCATACATCCGAGATGGGACAATTCGCCCAAGTTTTGTTCAGGACACCTCATATTATTTGACAAACATTTTTACACCAGCTGTCGACCTGACGCAACCTCATTAATCGCCTCTTACGACTGGCAAAGGGGCCATAGAAGTATTCTTATCTCCTATCTACAGGGAAACAATATACTTATTATACTAACTTATAAAATAAAAAATGCATCGGAGGATATTTATAATTTTGTACATAGGTAAGAGAGCAGCCAAAAAATTACAAATCATAAAAATAACATCTATGCTTCACCTCTAATCTATATTTTAAAATTCTAATAACTTCCAAAGTATTAGTCCATAAGCTGTTATTGACCAATAATTTTTTTTATTGCGTCATTTTCTATTTTATAAACTAGTTTAATATGTATGTTGTCATTTAAAAAATATAAGTTTACACTATATAAGTATTAAGGAATAAATCTAAAAATTATTTTATAACAGATACATGGAGATACATCATTAACTTACAAAATCTAAAAAAAACTATTAAAAATTGTATTATTTTAAGAGGAATTAAGTAGCTAGCATTAAAAGAGTCACCCCGTAAAAAACCCTACTAATTTTGAATTATTTATCCTTTTTCATTTTTATTACAGCTTTTTATTTGCTCGTTTATGTTTATAAATTGTTGTATCTCAGTAAATATGATGGTCAAAATACAGAAAAATTAATCATATAAATATTAATTAAATATTATCATCTCCTTTGCCTCTACCTCAACTATTTGGAGTCATCTCTGCCTTACAATTAGACAGAATTATTAAATTGACTTCTGACCTGACATAACCTCATATGGCTGAGGGAATTAGTTAAGGAGAAAGGTGCAAGTCAACATTAGAGCTACTGTATGGAAACCTAACATCAAACAGCAAAGATGGACATCAGCTTTAAGGCAGCAATGAATGGTCCATTATGTCACACCACACCACTTATTAGATAAATAAATATATTTTCAATTATAAAAAAAATATAAAAATTATAATTTTCTCTTTTTAGTTGAATATGATAATTATATGGATTCTAAGAAGACTGTTTATGGAAACCTATAATGTGCAAAAAATAATACACTTGCCAGTTTTATTTTACAATAAAATTAGTGTACTAATTAGTAATATTAGATAATATAACAATATTATCAAAAATTAAAAGTAGTTTTTTACCTGTATGCAAACATCTAAAAGTGTATTGACATTTAAAGCCAACTCCATAAGATCAAATAAGAATGCCACATGTTCTTGAACAGGGAGATAATTTGAATTTCCTATTGAAAAAAATATTATGACACAAATATAAGACAATACATTTTGATGTGATTTTTGTTTTATCTTAATTTATTGTTAGAGTTTAAAATACTTAATTTACTTAAACAAATAATTAAGAACAGTTAATCTATGACTTAGCTCTTTTTTCAAAACAGAAAAAATTTAGATGTGATTACCAGTAGCAAATGCATTAATAGATTCAAGAACTGTGAGGCTACACTGCCATGTAACAACATGTTGATCAAAATAAGACAAATTTTGAACTCTAGCAGTAGTTGCTTCAAAATTGAATTCATTGCGAGAATGTTTCTTTACTTTTCCACCTAATTGTAACAAAATCTCTTTTTTCTAATACTGAAGAAAAAAGTTATACTTAAAAAACTTACCTTCAGCAATATCAATGCTAAATTTTTTACTAAATAGTTTACAGATATCTTTGCTTATACGTTTAATTGTATGTCTAGCATCATCTCTCATTTTTCCAAAACCATATAAAAGAACATGCCTTTGGTTACAATCATGACTAGTAGTTTCTTCATCCTAAATTTTTATTCAATGATTTTTATTATTTTTTTTAAATTTTACTTAATTTTTAATTTACCAGTGGTAATGGAAAATGTGTTGCATATAATAGATGTCGTGAAGGTCTACCTTTTAACATGTTTTCATTAGTACTTGTTGATGGATTATTTGAATCTAACCCACCAATTGATGAACCAGCAAAAGGTTCAACTTTTGGAGAATCAGGAGCATCCTAATTTTTTATAATTTAGTAAATAAATTACATTTCTAAGTTATTTAACATTAATAAATAAATTACCATTGAATTTTGTTGCTCTTCTTTAATATGTTGCAATAATTTATCTAAATCATCATCAATTTTACTGTCATCATAGTCCATATGTCGATTATGATGTTCCTTAAAAATAATGTTTTTTTTTGTTTTTATATTTAATAAAAATTTAAAAATAAAAAATAATTTTCATAATAGTCAGTGGTGAATCCAAGGAATCACAGGGAGGGTGCATCCCCTTCATAAACTATAATTGCCTACCAAAAATAATTAAAATAGGTTTTTGATAAAACAAGCAAAAAATGTATTTTTTTATTCTCTTACTTGAAAAATTTCTTAAGAAAATAATTTTTTTAGAAAAATAAAATTTTATTGAATTATTCAGAATGACACTGAATAGTTCAATATAAATAACTCCCAAAATATTAGCCAAATATGCCGGATACCAAATAGTTTCCAAATATTCGGCCTGTTCCTGGTTTAAATAATCCATTTTTGTTTGTCACAAAAAAAATAATAATATTTATAAAAATAATTACTGGAACATTTGGTTTTAAATCAAATAAGTTATCATCTTCTATATGAGCTGGACCTTGAGTTGAACCTGCACCTGATGGAGTATCTGTAGGTTTACTATTACTTGAATGTTGACTTCCTCCTTTAAACATGTCAACAAAAAAATAAAATAATGATAACTAAAATGTAGTTTTTACTAATACCATTATTTGATTGTAAATCGCCTCTTGATATTAAAGTGCACATATAGGCATCATGTGAAAACACATCATTCCTTATTAGTTCCGTAAATAAATTTACCAAATTTGTAAATGTTATGCGGCTTGTATGATTATTTTCTGTAAAAATAAATAAATTAACAACTTGATTACATTTTAAATTAAAATTAAATTAATTGAATCGATCACATAAAGATCTTATAAATAAAATTGAATAGAAATAAATTTTATCTCATTTTAATATTTAAAACGGAACATTATATATAACACTATTATTAAAATAGATTGAAATATAAATAAAAATAATAAAAATGAGCCAAATATGATTAATAACTTTTTTTTAATTATATTTAATAGTTAAAATTAAATTATTAGTGCTTATTTATCCTATTTTAATGACTTATGACTATTTGATAAAGATAAAAATTCATATTTTGATTTATTTACAGATGTTGGAGCACTATTTAAATTCAATGTTAATTACCTAATATTGGAGCATCATGGTCAAGAAAATGCATTAAAAGAGATTGAAATAGTGGCAGTGTAGCAGGTGTGGAAACAACTGAATCTTTATCTTCATTAGGACCACTTGGTATATTTTCTACAGAAGAATCACTTTCTCGTCCAGTTATTTCTGCTTGTCTTTTATCAAGTAATCTAGCAACTGCCATTCCTCGATGTTCACCATGCCTTAAGCTACTAAGAGCCCACTCACATAGCACTTTAACAATTATTTGATCTTGATCTATACTCTGTAAAAAATTATTAAAAAAATCTTTTATATAAATTTAATTAAGACAAAAACTTAAACATAATTACATATTCTGTGCGGTTATCTTTTGATAAATCAATATCTGAAGATTTTGTTATTCCTCCAACAGCTATTGGTAAAGTATTTAAATTATCTTTTACATTGGGCGATGAAAAAATTTTATTATATAATGTATCCAAAGAATTATTTTGATCAATACGCTCAAAACTATGACGATCTAGAGCATCCAAAACTGTTAAAATTTTCATAGTTTTAGCTCCTAAAATTAATTAACAAGTAAGTTCAATTTCACTTAAGACTTGGAAGATTTAATTAGTAACTATTGTACCTATTGAAGACTTTTGAAATTTGTCTAAACACCATCTGCCTTCAGCTGCTTGACTTCTTAGTCTTACAATTTCTTCAAATTGTTTGAGTTGTTTCCTACTCATTAAAAATAAAATGGTCAAAAAATTTTTTTAATTAAGTTTTGATATTTTTGTCTAAGAATTATTTTCCAAAAATACTTAGCTCACACCTTAAATTCATGAACAATGCAAATATTTATTGATTGCTAAAGAGAAAATTAAATCACACTAACAAAGTATGTAAAACCAGTCAGAAGAAATTGAAATAAAAAATAGTTTTTTAGATCATACAAAAAATTTCATGAACTTTGTAATAGTTGGACAAAGTACATTTTTTATAATTTTTAATTTAGATATTTAAAAAAATAAAATTAGATATAGATTTAAAAAATAACTTAAAGGTAAGCAAAAAAAAAATTATTTTGTGTACCTTAGTGAAACATTATTTGTTCTTTGAGGCATAGGTAAAATTATAGGAGAACAAGGTAAATAGTCTAATGGCGAACCATTTAATATAGATGGTAGTTTTCCGCCACCCAAATGATTCCAAACAAGTGATGTGGGACATTCTAAAAGAATTATCTATAATAATAAAATATTAGACATATTAAATAACTTATATAAGGGCAATACTATTTAATAAAATAGACTTTGAAATAAAACTTACTTGTATAATACAACTTATTGGAAGTAAAATATCCCTATGATGAGGACAAGCCATCATATCATTTAAAATAGCTGCAGCATTGGTAATGGTTGAATTGTTACTAAAATAATTTTTCATTTTAAAGTTAAAATGTCAAACAGTTATAATTTAAATTATAAATCAAATAGTTAATACTAATTTGTTTACCTAGGAGCACTTATACTAGATGTTCCTTTAGAATTAGGACTTGACGGAGGATTTGAATCTACTACTGAATTACACATAGAATTCAATTTTCTCGAACAAAAATAAACTAATTTTCGACTTAAAAGTTCAGATTGGCAAAATTCTGAACAATACTGCAAAGCTAAAGGACATAGAACTTTTAGCAAACCATCTTCACTAACTGATGATGATTTATAACGTTCAAGCAAATCTAATATCCATTGAAGTACTTCTTGTCGTTCTAAAAGTCCCTCCTAAAGAGTACACCAAATATTTATAATAGAAACTAAATAAATAAAATTAAGTATATAAACATGTTTGATAATATTTAAAAAAAAATGTTAATTTATATAAATAACAATTACAATAAAAAAAAAAATTAATATAATCTAAAAAATCTTAAATGGTAATGCATTTTTTTATATAAAAATAATCCTTTTACCATAAAAATTAAAAGTGTGCTACCTATTTTCTGCACATCTATAGTAACAGAAATATAATTTATTCTAATAGTAAATAATTATTAAAACCTTGAATTTACACTTAGCAATATTTTTTAACATTAGTAATGCAAATAAATTTATCATTTATTTTAGTAGTAGTTTCATAAAACATATCCGTGTTGAAAATTAATTAATTAAGATCTTACCAATCAGATTAAATATCAAGGTAAAAAAAAATTGATAAAATATTACCTGATACATATATTTGATCAAACTTGAACAATAGTTCCATTGTTTAAGTGAAATTTTTTGTTCTTCAGTCATAAAATGCAAGGAACTGTTATTTGAAGATGATGTACTTTGGTAGTAATCTTGAAGTTTAATTAATTGTTCTTTGGTAAATTTCAAAAGGGTACTGGTCCATTCTAAAAATACCAATAATTAAATTCTATTAGTTATCACTTAATAAATAATTACTTAATAATAGTAGGTATTTTAAAACTTTTATAATTAATACATTAATAATAGTGATATAATAACTTTATTTTAGCAACAAAAATAATTTATAATACTTTTTAAAATGTTACAATTTAAGTGTTAGAATACCTCAAAAAAGCATGTTTGTTATATTGGACATTGAGTTATAATTACATTGAAAAGAGGGTAATTATTATATATTATTTTTAATAAAATGAACTAACCTAATGTAGGATCTGGCAGTTGACGTTTTGATTTAATTTTTGCTTCTGACACAGCAATTGTATAGGCTGAACTCAATTTTATAAACCATGTAGCTCGAATAAGTGGGACATTATATTCACATAACAACATAAATATTTCCTCTTTTTTGTTAAAATTTGGTGCCTAAAATAGTTCATTAATAGAATACATAATTTTTAATTAATTTAATTAAATAAGAAGTATAACAATACATAAAAGTAGATTACTAGTCCAAATAAGCTTTATGGCACAAAGAAGTAATGGAAAAAAAAATTTTGAAGGTCTTTTATTTATCATTTAGCCAAAAACGAAGTCTAAAATTTACTATTTCAAATAAGTTACAACAAACTAAATAAAATGTAACTAATAATATAATAATTTAGATTTTTATTCAGATTAGCATTACAAAAAGATGTCGTTAGAAAAAAACTTAAAAAGTTCAATAGTAAATTTAGGTTTTTTAATGGTAGTAGGTTATACCAAAATTACTAAGATAATTTTTTTGCCTAAAATGTTAATTTTACATGATCAATGATTAACCTTTTCATTCACCTTAGGTACAAAGACGTTATTATTTTAAAATGATATGTTTTAGAGATAAGCTCATACTGACTAGGTATGTAAAATATAAAATAAGCAATTATAAACTAACTTTATATATGTAAAACTCTATACTCTTAATTTGTTGATATACCTATAATAATAAATGTGAAAATATAATTATACAGTTGAGTTGTTTTTTTTCAACAAGTAACTTGTTTAGTAAGTAGTTGTTTAAATATATTTTTATTTAAAAATATAATGAGTTCCAAATTAATTTTAATGAATTTCAAAATATTTACCTTTTTGGAAAGTATATTCAATGGTTTTATTCCAGCCAAATCTTTAAACCAAGCTTCAACTGTAGTTTTAGATCTGGCAGTTGCTGGCCAAAAATTATCCTTAGGATTAATTTGTAATCGTTTCCTTCCAGTATCCAACAAAGTGTTTAATTCTTCTTTTTTATTGATAATAGCATTAAAAAAAGCTCCAATTTTTGAAGCTGTAATATTATAATTGCGAGCAGTTCCATGTTGGTGTTCATCAGATATAGTCAATGATGTAGTAAAACCATGTTTTACATTAACAGTAGTTAATTCATCCTAACATAAAATGTCCATAGAAAATTAAAATATAGAAAAAGTATTAGACAGGTTTATTTACCTCTTTTTGCTTAGGCTCTTGGGGATAGACATCTGGAGGACCAAGTCGTGGTCGTTTTAATGGTCGTTTTTCGTAAGAAAATCCCATCATTTATGCTAGTTAGCTCACATTAATACATAATGTTTAGCAATAAATGCTTAAGTAAAAGTAGCACCAAAGGAACAACAAATAATACATGAATATCACATTAATATAAGAATCATTTTTGTAAAATACAGATTAAAATTAGCGCATAAGATGTTGTTTATTTATTCTTAATATAAAATAAGTTAAACGTTTAAATATACATAGTAAAACTAAAAAGGAATTATTAAAATAATTTAAATGATTGAAAATACATTCTACTTAATTAAAAAATGATACATGAAAATATTTTTGTTTACGCTGTAATTTGTGTATATTGTTAATAAAATCATGTTATCATCTAAAACTGTGATAAAAACCAAACTGCTATAACCTCACTGGTGTAATCACGACTATTGAAAGCTTCTTCTAAGATCGTGGATACAATAACCTTAATGGTCCATTAAGACAAAGTTTATGTATCAATAAATTATTCTATCAATTATAGAAATTTTATATGAGAGCACTTTATTTTAAAGAATCACTTGTCCCATTCTCCATTTTAGAGTTTCTAAAAATTACGCCTGTGTACTCCATCTTCTTTTACTAAATATATGAGTGTGTGGGTCTTAATTATTTTTATTAAAACTAGAAGACACCACAAAATAATTATTTAATATATCTATATTATTAAATATATTAAATAATACTTTTATTTTAAAAGTCAAACAGGAACAAGAACATACATGTAACAAACAAAAGATGACATAACCTACTTTTTTCTAACTGTTGTCACAGGGATGAAGAAAAGTAATATGGTACCAACACTACAAGTGTTATATTCGTGATACGTATTATTTTTTTAATCAAATGAGGATCAGGCTCTTCATTTGCAAGGCAGAAAACATCAGAAATTTGCAATTTTATTTTTGTGTATACTATCTTAAACCCATGTTATTTTATAAATATTTAGAATTTATAAATTATATTATTGTTTTTAGTTAATTCGTATGTAATATTTTAACTACCATTAAATGTTGTTATTTCATTTCATTTTCATGAAGTATTATAAATGTAATTATTAATTATCATCGATTCGATAGCATCAAATACTTGTTAATTGTTAATGTTAATTTGTATAATATAAAAAGATATCTAACAGACTACTTGTTGGTCAGTGTTCCATCGGTGAGTAACAGTGATGACAGTAATTAGACTCTTCCTGAGGACACTTACCCGCGGGGGTTAAATTGAACTTAAAAACACTCAGTTTACCACAATACTTACATAAAAATAGCCACCTCAACAAATTTTCGTAGAGGATGCTATTACTTTTAATACTACAACAAAATTAAATCGAAACATTCAAAAATATTTCATTTTGAATGTAGGTTTTTTTATTTTTTCGCATTTCTTTCATTAAATTTAAATAACCTTTTATTAATTACTATGTGTGCATAAATTACGCATATTTTTAGAGCTCTGCCCTTCTGTTATTTACTTTTGTTGTCACAATTAAATCAACTAATTATGACCCCAGTTCCAAGTTAAACGTTTAACGAATAACATTTTATGTAAAACCTATCTATTTTGTTACTGTCTAAATAATAATTTAACATTACATTATTTGAAATAAATTTTCAGCTAGATAATATCAATATATTTTTATTTTAAATTAATAAAGGTTATAATAATAACGTTTAAAACGAAAAACAAAAATATGTATTATCAATAAACAGCGACTTATTTATATGCAGGCAATAAGGCAACTGTCTTCAGCGGCATATTTAAAAGGGCGTCAAATATTAAAGGCCAACAATATTAAAAAAAGCGAATTATTTTTTTATTGTTAGACATATTGACTTTCTAATAATTATCATAATCATTTTCATTTATTGTGTATTTATGATATGTATATTAATAGCTACAATTTATTTTATGATTTATTAATAAACATAGATTTGCTTGAAAAATATCTTTAATATACTTTTTATTTTGAGGAATAATTAGTAGTAGTATTATTGCGAAAATATATAAAAATGAGCCCCCACCGTCATGAATGAACGGCGGCAAATTTTTAAATGAATATAGGCGGAAAATATGTGAATACGACCCTGTCAATAAATATAAAAAAACTTTTTTATTAGTTTTTTCATGTTGAACCAATATATAATATAATAAAAATATATAATTAAATATTAAGGTTTTTAAAATCTACCAAGGTCTAGAAATTATGATGTCAAGGCAAACCTCTAAGCACAAGAGGTTATATAAAAATTATCGTAGAGTTAATTTTTTCTTTAATTAAAGTTTTCTGGCTTTTAAGCTATAAATTTACTAATGTTGTTGTTTTTTTGTTTTTAAAGTAGACTTTTTTTTATGTAAAGCAACATCTACTTAGAAAATTACCAACAAATTTTCATACGAAAATTCTTTTATTTGCTCTCCACTTCAAAAAACAAAAAACCTATATTTACAGACTTGTACAGTAAATATAGGGCAATATAGTAAGCTCTATCTGTTGAAATCCTGCATCTAACTTTAGAAAATGGAACTGATGTTACTACAGGGATTTTTATAAAATCTCACAAATAAAAATTGTTATAACTTTCCTATAAAATAAATGGATCTAATTTAATGTCCAACACCGGATCATTTAAATATTGTGGTGTAATTTTTTATTTTCAGAAGAAATTAAAATAAAAAATATTTTAATTTAAAAATGTTTGAAATATATCAGGAGTGTTAAAAAAAATCTGTTTAATGTATTTTATTTTATTGTTAATTACTTTGTTGTTTGTGCTAGATATCAATGGCACAACTTAAAGGAAAAGTGCTGTATCAATCCAAAATTATTTACATATTGTTATACAAAAATATTTCTTTTGGTGCAAAAAAATGAATTTAGTACCCCAAAACATGTTATTCTAATTGCATCAATGGTGAGTATAACCGTTTTTTAACAAACATACATGGTATTTTTATTAGTCATTTCTAGAGATTTGAATTATATTTGAAAAACAACTTTAATTATCTAAGGATTATTTTTTATATTTTTCTTTTATTAACATATATTAATATTATTAAGTGGTATTATTATTTAATATTAGTTTTAAAATTATAAATCAGCACATAAAATAATGTACGTATTTGTTTATAGTTATAAACTGTACACTAATAAAAGTACCGTATTATCAAGTACTTTTACTAAAAATATAAAAAATTTGATCCATTAAGTTATATTGTATATTCTTACAGAAAAATCTAAGACAAATAAAAAATTGTATCAAATATTAGTGTACAATCAATAATCATGAATTTTACAGAATTTTTTTTCTTCAAGACACACAAGAACCATTATACACATACATTTATGAATATTATTTAATTGGAATAATAAAATTATAAAATCTGTTTTATAATTATGTAACCTATTAGTAACCTTCCTGCCATTGTTTAGTATCAAGTCTTGCTTGAATTATTTCCAATTGTCTTTTTGCTTCGCATTGAGGGAAATTCTGTAGATCATAATACTGTGGTGCATATTTTAATAACCATTCCGCTAATGTAAAACAAAAATGCCTTAATAATATAATTATAGACATAATTTTTTTTTGATACTTACGTTTTACTTCACTCACAGTTCTAATATAATTTTTTGTAGTTAGCACAAATTCATTATAAATAACCCATTCAGGCTTATGACCTAATACAGTTGATGGATGTAACTGAACTGTTTGATTATCTTTAATTGTTAAATAATGTCCAGTTCTTTCTAAATGTGCAACCTAAAGATAAGTTTAAAATTTACAATGAAATTAGACAATAAACATTTAGTTAAGAAGTAGAATCAATGGCAAATTGGACAACAGAATATTAGAAAAATTACTGGTAGGCCACATTATCATATTGAGACCATAGGCTGATTGTACAAGATCAACAAATGGTAAAACGACTTGGTTAAATTTTTTTTTGAAAATAGATAACTGTGTTGTAAGTTGTCATATCACAGATTAAATGAAACATTTAATCTGAGACCAAATTATTGAAATTCAATTACAAAATTCACCTATGCAAACCAAGCATTTTTTTTTCAACTCATTTTTGAAAATGTTCCAGAATGTTTGACAACTTTTATTAACCTATATCAAATTAAAGCTCTTGAAGTGTACTATTATATTAATAAAAAAATCTATCTCACAATTGTTTTACTATGAAAAATCGGTCATAAAAGTAAAAATATTTGTTTTTACTTTGTAAAAGCATTTTTTTAACTTTTTTAGACTAAATAAATGTGGTTTTTATTTGTAAGCAGAGTATGAAACAATTTTTTTTTTTAATGATTCTTTCTTTTACGTATCACTTTATTTAGAAACAAGGTGTGCAGGTCTGATTAATTTTCTGAATTTTTTTACCAAACTTCCACTGAGTAGAATGATATTTTAATACTTAAATTAAATAACATACCTGCATGAAAAAGCCAGTTGTAAGAGATTTACGAATATTTAAATAATAATCTTTAGATGTGAACTCTGTAGAAGTTCGCTTCAAGTTAAACCTGTCCATAATTCTAGATAATTGTTGACGTACATTATCAGCAGATTTCAATGATCGATAATTTATAAAATTATCATAACACCATTGAGGGTCTTCATTACCTATTAATGAAAAAAATTAGAAAAACAGATAAAAGTAATTTTTTTTAGTATTAATTATTTCTTAGAGATAAAAATAAAATACAACAACATGTTTAAAAATATATTGTTAATTTATATTAATAAAGAGCATTCCAGTGAACAAAGGTTTTAGCCTCCTGATAACTGGATTAGTCTAACTACACCCAAGATAAATATTATGTATTAAAATACAAATTGAATTTACAACTAAATTTCAGATGCTATTTAAATAAAATTTAATTATTAAACTGGACACCACACATAATATCTAGTAAATATCTTTATTCTTTAATACTTTAGATATTCAATAACTAGGTAANAGAATTTCATTGGAACAATTTAGAGAACAGGATGCAATTAACATTTTTGCTAATTGTGGATCTAAAGGAAATTCAGCCATAATATTTCCCAAATCAGTTAGATTTCCATCGTCGTCCAATGCTGATAAATTTTTTTTTATGTCTGTTGCCACTTTTTCTCAGCTCTCACTGGACCGATTTCTTTTAACAATACGTCAAAAGATCACAAATTGTATCTAGTTGAAGACATTACCCTTAAAAATTGAAAAATTTTCCCTCGTTCACCGCAAATGGGGGAAATATCCAAAAAAATTACAAATTAAAAAATCGGTAAATTTTGTCATTTTTTTCACTTTTTTTACTTAAAACTGCCATAACTTTTTCAAAAATGACCAAATCAATATAATTTTTTTTTTAATAGATGCATAATGTCTTTACTTATCATTTGATATATTTTTTTATAAATCTGATCTTTTACCTGCCCACTGGGGGGATTCAAAATGACAACTTTTTTACAAAGAAAGAACATTTTTACCTTAATTTTTGAATGTGTTCCGGAAATACTGACACTTATATATATTTATATTTATATTAAATTAAAGCTTATGTAATATAATTTAATATGAAAAAGAAAAATTTCAAACTTTAGTTTGTTTTCATGGTGAATACTAACAGCAAAGTTAATAAAACAATAAGGTTTTGGTAAAAAAATTATATTTTTAATTTTATAATGCTATTACTTTTTGAAAAATATATGGATCAATAAAATTTTTTTATGAAAAATAATATTTTTATACCTCTTTCATTTGACATACTTTCTTTTAAAAATAAAACCATTTTCTTTTATAAATTTATATATTATAAATATATAGAGATATTTATTTATTCATATATTACATATATAAATAATTTAATTTGTAATCAGGATATAGGAGATCATGTAGCTTTTAGAATAAACCACCAATTTTTTAAAATTTAACACTATTTACAAATTTGCATTGTAGCGTTTTTTATGATAGTGATTTTCATCACTGCCAGATATCATTATACTATGCCACGACCCCACTATGACGCGACCCTACTGTGCTGGATTTTTTTTTTAAATTTTTCAAATAGATAAAAGAAATTACCAAATCAAAAACAATTTTCTGTTTTATAGACATTATGATTTTTATTAGATATTTAACATTTCATAAGAACTTAAGTAATTTCTCTTAATCGAAAATTAAAATACTTGTATTGTTATTCATTTCAATATAAATTAGTTTTATATTTTTAACTTTTTCAAGTTAACTTTGTAAAAATTAAATAAAAAACAAATAAAAATAATCTTACTTTGTTTAAATGCATGATAGATGTTCAATAATGTTAGATGATCACCGTCTATGTGTGCAAACCTCATTTTGGCGTCATCAGATGCTTTCTTAGCTTCAGTTGGTCGAACAAAACACTGTGGGACTAAACAAGACAATCGAGAGAGGTAGGCCAGACGGGTATGCCCGGATAAGGCCATTGTACCTCATTTAATAACCAGCAACAAACACCTATGTAACTAACCTTATGTTAAAACCCCTCCGACTACAATCTGGCATTATAACAGTAGAATAAATCCCAATTTAACAAATTTATGAAGATAAAAATCATGTAGTTTATTATTAACTATAAGAAAAAGCCAATAAAATTAAAAAAATATATATATATATAAACATACATCTTCTTAACATAGTTTATATAAAATAAATGAGTGTTATTAAGTATTAAAATATGTTATAAAAAAAAAGGTTTTTTTTTTTATCATCAATATTATTTTGATATTTTATTGCAAAAAATTAATCATCAATATTCTTGATTATATATATTATAATATTTTTGGTATCTCATTATATGAACATCTAAATATTGGACTGAACCGAAATGAGTACGGAAAATTTAAATTAAACATGAAAATATATTTTTGACAAGCCCATTCAAATAGAAAATATATCAACATTTCAATACAATAAAAATATCTAAATTTTACCAAAAAAATAACCAATATCAACATTCAAATATATCCCCATAAAAAAAAATTATATTCTATATATAACTGATTTAAATTAATATTCAAGAAATTTTTTAGTTATTTAAACTTAAAGAAATAGTAAAAATATACTTTTAATAAGGCAAATATATATATAATGCATTTTTATAATATTGCTTATTATAATGCCAGAATGCTTTCAATGTAAATTTTCAACTATTTTTTTTAATAGAAAGTTTAAAAAAATGTTTAAATGCTATAGAAACATAAATATTGAATAAAAATAAGAGTTTTTAATATCAAAATTTTTCTTTAAAACTTATCTATAAAATGATTATCTTCAAATCTTAAAAAAAAATTTAAATTTCTATAAATGCAAAAAATAAGATAAAACAAATTAGTATAACCCTATATAAATATAGTCCTATAGTGTAAAAATTGATTAAAAAAAATTATAAGATTTTATGTAGAAATAAGTTATATAAGTTGTTAGTTAGATCTGTTTTACCCTATATACCTAAACTCAATATTTTTTCATATTTTAAGTTATATATGGTAAGCATGTATACCATTAAAACATACATTAGTGCATTAATATTACATAATAATATTTTTAGTAAAGAAAATCTCACCTGATAACATAGCTGTGATAGAAAGAATTTCATTGGAACAATTTAGAGAACAGGATGCAATTAACATTTTTGCTAATTGTGGATCTAAAGGAAATTCAGCCATAATATTTCCCAAATCAGTTAGATTTCCATCGTCGTCCAATGCTGATAAATAGTTTAGAAGTTCTAAAGCTCTCATTAGAGTTTCAGGGGCTATAAAAAATGTTTTTTTTTGTACAATAGTGTCTATTTTTTCTGAAGTTTTTCAAATAAATTAAATTCTAAAAGAGAATTATTTGAAATAAAATTTACCAGGTGGATCCATAAAGTCAAAATGAACCAAATCATCAATACCAAGTTTTTTCAACTGCAACACAACAGAACCTAAATTTGAACGCAAAATTTCAGGATATGTATTTTCTTGCATTTCATTTTTATATGCTTTTTCTGTATATAATCTATACAAAAATATTAATTTATGAACATTCTCTTACTTGGTTAATCATTAGTATAAACAAAAATGTTATGAATTTTACCTAAAACATTTTCCAGCTTTTGTACGTCCAGCACGACCAGCTCTTTGTTGTGCAGAAGCTTTACTTATAGGAGAAACAAGCAATGATTCAACTCGAATACGTGGATTGTACACCTAATAAGAAATATAATATTAGAAAATAAATTTTAAACAAAATCTAACTTTAATTACCTTTTGTTTAGCAAAACCAGGATCAATAACGAATACTACCCCATCAATAGTTAAAGAAGTTTCTGCAATATTGGTAGAAACTACGACTTTTCTTCCAATGGCTCCATTAGGTTTATTAGGAGGAGCTTGTTCAAATATTCTCTGTTGAAGATTAGGCGGTAAAGTTGAGTATAATGGAATACACTTTAAATCACCAACATCAGGACCCAAATTGTCAATTTCCTTTTTAATTCTTTTACAAGCTTCTTCAATTTCCTTGATAATAAAAGTGTTCATTAAGATGTATAAAATTAATTGATAATTTTTATTAATAAAATATACAAACCTCTTGCCCAGTAAGAAACAATAAAATATCACCTGCCACTTCTTCACACATATGAATTTGAATAACTGTACGGATAGCAGCTTCCAAATAGTCTCTTTCAGGCTCTGGGGTATAAAATATTTCTACAGGGAATGTACGACCAGGAACATTCATTAAAGGAGCATTGTCGAAATATTGCTGAAATTTTAATACATTTAGATTTTATTATATACTTATACATTATGTTTAATAAAAAATTATGATATCAAATTAAAATTATTTAATAATAATAATAAACAATCAATTTAACTAAAAAAATATAATAATTAGACGAGACATTGACTTTTACTCTAGGAACATGTTTTAATTTATCAGTTATAACCTATCTGAAGACCAACAATGACAAGTACAGATTATCAATTACCTCTAAGTACATTAAGCTACATTACATCTACGGTACTACTAATATTATAAACAATAGTAATTTTAGAAATAATTCAAGAAAATTTTTTTTTTGATTTATGTTAGATCAATTTTATCAGTGAACTTTAAAAGAAAATTAATTTTTCATACATAAATATAGTAATTGTATTTTTTTTTGTAATAAAAAATGATATTTATGTTTTCTTGTTAAAGAATAATAATTACTTGAAATTTTCCAGCATCTAAAGTAGCAGACATAATAACTAATTTAAGATCTTTACGCTGTTTAATCACTTCCTTAAGAACACCCATTAAAATGTCTGTTGCTAATGTTCTTTCATGAGCTTCATCTAATAAAATAACTTGATAGGTTTCTAACATGGGATCAGACATTCCTTCACGAAGTAACATACCATCAGTCATATACCTATTAAGTTAAAAGAATTTTTAAGTAAATGAATTAAACATATTATTACATAGGGGTTTAGTATTAAAGAAATTGGTTTCTATTGTTCTCATTGTTTCTAACAATTGACCTGTTTCCTTACTTACTGAACGCCCGTATAAGTATATTATTAGTATTTTATTATACTTTAAAAGAGTTCTAGCAGAAGAACAGTCTTCAAATCTTATACTGTAACCAACTTCAGCACCAAGAGATACATCCATTTCTTCAGAAACACGTTGAGCAACAGACATGGCTGCAACTCTTCTTGGCTGAGTACATGCTACACCTTTACGACCAACTGTTGAAGAATATTCAACACACCTAATTATTTAAATTAGTAAAAATAAAATGAAATAATTAATAGTTTTATGTAAAATTACAAGATTTTTCTTAATAACATTTATATTAATTACCATTGAGGAATTTGAGTAGTTTTACCAGAACCTGTTTCACCAACTAATACAATACATTGGTTATTTTTCAATAAACTCATAAACTCTTCTTTATATTCAAAAACAGGAAGTTGAATCCTTTTTTTATGAAGTTCAAAATACCTTTAAAATAATGTAGAGGTAAATTAAAAACAATAACTATTTTGAACAACCTACAAGTTACTTACTTAGGAGTATAAGGTAGATTTGTATATGGATTATTTTGAAGCTGTGTTGACGTATTAGGTTTAATATAAACTTGACCTTCAGCTCTAAATCAATATGATAAAGATATAAATAAATTTGAATTGATTTATATAATAAAATTCATTTAAAACAGTTTGTTAAATTTAAAACATAAAAATGAAATATTATTCTTCTCATATCAGAGTTTTAATTAAGGTTTGATATACTCATCTACTATTGAATAATAATAAATATTAAGCATAAATTGAAAGTTTTGAGACAAATGAATAAATTCTTTATGAACTTAGCGTCTAGTTTAAAACATAAAAAATAACATTTGGATACAAAGTATCATACAATAAATAACTCTTACTAATTCAATACATATTAAAAAATAATTAAAACCTAGGTTTTTGGTAATAAAGAATTAATATTGTTAGAGTAATAAATAATTATAAAACAAACAATGATATTAAAATTACTTTTTATTTTTGGTGATGTAAGGATCAATAATATCAAGACGTCTTTTAGACATTGCGAGTGTTTGTTCTCTATTTACTTGTTAACACCACGTTGTATCACTCTTCTAATCCACTAAGTATTTTCCTCGTTTAACAATTCTTAATGAAAAAACTTCTAAATCATTACACTGATTAATGATTTGGGTTTAAGGTTAAGAATCCGTTCATAACTATCCAGAAATTAACACTAACAATATGCACTAAGACACCTAATTACTCTAAAAACAAAAATTTCTACAGTCAAAACGCATCTTTTTAAGAACCGCGTTGTTAACCAGATATTATGTGATAATTGGAGATTAACATTCATTATAGCATTGCCAACTGTATTGTTGAATTTCAACTTCCATGATTGTGTTTGCAAATATGAAAAATATATTTATTTTGAAATACAATAAATGATTCAAAAAATTAATATGATTGATTCAGGAGTCATTGAATCATCTGCTTTTTAATATTTTAAATAAAGAACATTACTGTTTCTTACAACACAAATATTTATTACAGGTTACGAAAAATATTACGGTTACCTTTATTTCTGAATATTTTAGCTTCGATTTTTAACAAAAACTAACTTTTTCAACTTAATTTTTGATAATGTTCCGGAAATACTGCGTCCTTTAAACATATATCAAATTAAAGCTTATTTTATGTACTATAAAATGAAAAAAAAAAATTTGTCCCGACACTTTATCTTCTGCATGTAAACGGTTGCCGTAGTTAAAAAAACACTATTTTTGTGTTAAAATTTTCGATTTTCAATTTTTAATTTTCAACTTAAAAATGCTATAACTTTTCGAAAAATGCATGTATCAGCACAATTTTTTTTTTTCTAAATACATTATAAGTACATCTTCCATTTGACATACTTTTTATTAAAATTAGACAATTTCCCCTTATATAGGGGGGGTTCAAACTTTGAAACATTGTATAAAAAATAGAACTTTTTCAACTGAACTTTTGAAAATGTTCCGGAAATACTGCGTCCTTTAAACATATATCAAATTAAAGCTTTTTTTATGTACTATAAAATGAAAAAAAAAAATTTGTCCCGACACCTTATCTTCTATGTGCAAATGGCTGTCGAAATTATAAAAAAAATGTAATATTTGCGATAAAAATCACCTTTTATAACGATGTTTTTTGTACTTAAAACTGCCATAACTTTTTCAAATATTAACTAATCAAAATAATATTTCTTTATATTGAAACCTTAGGTAATTTTCTTTCATTTGATATCATTTTTTTTTGAAAATCTAACACTTATTCTGCTCACAGGGGGGATTTAAAATAGCAACTTTTTTACAAAAACTAACTTTTTCAACTTAATTTTTGAAAATGTTCCGGAAATACTGCGTCCTTTAAACATATATCAAATTAAAGCTTATTTTATGTACTATAAAATGAAAAAAAAAATTTGTCCAGACACTTTATCTTCTGCATGTAAATGGCTGCCGTAGTTAAAAAAACCATATTTTTGTGTTAAAATTTTCGATTTTCTGACCATATATCAATCTAATCAAAACCATATTTTAAATGTTCATAAAATTTTATATTTATAAAATTTATACTTGTCTTAATTTCTAAAATTGAGAGTTTTTTCCACTATTTAATTATTATTACTTCAACTAGATTAAAATCGGTTCATTTGACGCATTGGATATCAACATTGGTCCAATGAGAGCTGAGAATATTTGTGGATAGACATAAAAAAAACGTACAGAATGACAAAACCAATCAATTTTTAGTATATGAAATTAAACATTTTTTTTTTTTTAAATGATTTAAAAATGATTCAGTAATGTGTTACTAAAAAATTTGGAATATTATTGATATGTAGTGGAACAAAAAATAGAGTTGAAAAATTTAAAAAAAAACAAAGAAGGATTATTCAAATTTGTAGTTGAAACTCATATCAAATCTAATTGGGCAATACGTATGAACTTTAAAAACATTATAAATAAATGATTTTAATTGTCTGTTAAGCAACTTTTTATTTGATTAAAGGGATTTTTTTTTTATTTATGACATTAATATATTTTTAAGGGTAATGTCTTCAACTAGATACGATTTGTGATCTTTTGACGTATTGTTAAAAGAAATCGGTCCAGTGAGAGCTGAGAAAAAGTAGTGAAAGACACAAAAAAAAAAAAAAATAAACACATCATGGTAAAATTAATACCTTCTCAGCTACGCATCGAAGCTAAAAAAAAATTAGTCCCGACACCTTATATACTATGTGCAAATTGCTGTCGAAATTTAAAAAAAAATGTAATATTTGCGATAAAAATCACCTTCTATAACAATGTTTTTTGTACTTAAAACTGCCATAACTTTTTCAAATATTAACAAATCAACATAATTTTTTTTTATACTAAGACCTTAGATATTTCCCTTTCGTTTGATATCATTTTTTTAAAAATCTAACACTTAACCTGCTCATGGGGGGGGAATTTAAAATAGCAACTTTTTAACAAAAACTAACTTTTTCAACATAATTTTTGAAAATGTTCCGGAAATACTGCGTCCTTTAAACATATATCAAATTAAAGCTTTTTTTATGTACTATAAAATGAAAAAAAAAAATTTGTCCCGACACCTTATCTTCTATGTGCAAATGGCTGTCGAAATTATAAAAAAAATGTAATATTTGCGATAAAAATCACCTTCTATAACGATGTTTTTTGTACTTAAAACTGCCATAACTTTTTCAAAAATAAACAAATCAACATAATTTTTTTTTATACTAAAACCTTAGGTAATTTTCTTTCATTTGATATCATTTTTTTTTGAAAATCTAACACTTATTCTGCTCACAGGGGGGATTTAAAATAGCAACTTTTTTACAAAAACTAACTTTTTCAACTTAATTTTTGAAAATGTTCCGGAAATACTGCGTCCTTTAAACATATATAAAATTAAAGCTTTTTTTATGTACTATAAAATGAAAAAAAAAAATTTGTCCCGACGACCTATCTTCTATGCGCAAAAGGCTACCGTATTCAAAAATATGCTATTTTTCTATTAAAATTCTAGGTTTTGTATTTTATTTTATTTTAAAATATCTTATTAGGAGAATATATTGACTTTCATGAATATTATATAATTTAATTGTCATAGAATAAAGTTCATAAGACATATGAAAATTAAATTTATTAAATTTTTTTACTTTTTTAAAGTCGATATAGTATTTTTAAATTTGAGTTAGCTTAAATAGCCAATTTTATCATGTGATGAAGCAACGAACAGAAACCGAATTGGTAACATTTGTGTCTTTCACGCACAGGGTACGAGGTCCAAATCTGTCTGTGGCAATTAATATTTTGCATTTTTTTTTTTTAATTAAAATAAAATTTTCAAATCATTTGATATTTATCTCATTTAGATTCAATAACTTCAATAGATATAAAGTATTCTATCACTATAGTCTCCCCTCGTGAGAAGAAATTTATATTCATGTTAATATTATTTTAATATGTAGTTTTTTTTGTGGCTACGATTTATTTTGCCAACCCTCACTAGACCTACTTTTTTCAACGATACGTCAAAGGATTACAATTCGTATTTAGTTTAAGTTATTACTCTTAAAAATCGAAAAAATATTCCTTATTCAAATAAAAAGTAGCTAAACCAGCTTTTTCTNAATATTCCTTATTCAAATAAAAAGTAGCTTAACTAGATTTGTCCATACAAACAATTAAAATCATTCATTTTTAATATTCTTAAAGTATTTATTGTCGAATTAGTTTTGATATGATAAAAGTATTCAAGTACAAAAGTAAATAATTTTACTTTATAATTTATTAATTTTTTAACTCTATTTGTGTGTGCTACTACCAGTCTATAATATGCCAAATTTTTTTGTAATATGTTGCTATATAAATCATAAATTTAAAAAAAAATAATTTTTAGTTTCACCTGAATTTAACGATGGATTTTTACAATTATAATTATATTTTATAATACGCTCAATTGAGTAAATCTTTTTAACTACTTTGTTTTGATTGGTTCATTTAGTTAAAGTAAATTNCTTTTTAACTACTTTGGTTTGATTGGTTCATTTAATTAAAGTAAATTATTAAAATTAATTAAGTTCTGAATATTTCAATTGCAGAATTTTTTTAAACACCAAAAGTTATTAGGATATGATTACTATTCTTTCTATTTCAGTTATCTATTACGATAAAAATGTAAAAAAATCGAATTTTTCTGACAAATGTACTGTAATTAGTAATTATAAAATTTCCAGATTGCATATTAATCTTAAAAATTTCATTTTTTTCAATTTAATAATGTCAATTTCAAACTTGCAAGTTGAACTATAAGTTATGGTAACAAATGCAATTTTTAGCTACGATGCGAAGCTGAGAAGGTATTTTTCATTACAACTTTCACTTTAAAAGACAATAAAAAATAGGTTCAAAATGATTACCTTTAACATATTAAAAATCAAAATCAGTATTAATTTAATACAATTTTTTTTGTTCTTAATTATTTTTTTTTATATGTAAATACTTATTTTTTAATAATAAGTAATAATATTAAAACTTAGAAGTAATAGAAAAAGTTTAATTGCACATTTGAAAACATCACGAAAAGTTTATTTAGAAAAGTATATTTTTTTTCTGATGAAAGTTCCTTTTGTTTAGTGNTTTTTTTTTATGTCTGTTGCCACTTTTTCTCAGCTCTCACTGGACCGATTTCTTTCAAAAATACGTCAAAAGATCACAAATCGTATCTAGTTGAAGACATTACCCTTAAAAATTGAAAAAAATTCCCTCGTTCCCCGCAAATGGGGGAAATATCCAAAAAAATTACAAATTTAAAAATCGCTAATTTTCGAAATTTTTTCACTTTTTTTTCTTAAAACTTCCATAACTTTTTCATAAATCGACAAATCAACATAATTTTTTTTTATACTAAAACTTTAAATATTTCCCCTTCATTTTATATCATTTTTTTGAAAATCTAACACTTAACCTGCTCACTAGGAGGATTTAAAATAGTAACTTTTTTACAAAAAATAACTTTTTCAACATATTTTTTGAAAATGTTCCGGAAATACTGCGTCCTTTAAACATATATCAAATTAAAGCTTATTTTATGTACTATAAAATGAAAAAAAAAAAATTTGTCCCGACGCTTTATCTTCTGCATGTAAACGGCTGCCGTTGTTAAAAAAACATATTTTTGTGTTAAAATTTTCGATTTTCGATTTTAAATTTTCAACTTTAAAATACTATAATTTTTCAAAAAATGTATGTATCAGCATAATTTTTTTTTTTAAATACGTCTTTCATTTGACATACTTTTTATTAAAATTGGACAATTTCGCCTTATATAGGGGGCGTTCAAATCTTGAAACATTGTATAAAAAATAGAACTTTTTCAACTTAACTTTTGAAAATGTTCCGGAAATACTGCGTCCTTGAAACATATATCAAATCAAAGGTTATGCCATGTACTATAATGTGAAAAAAAAAATGTGTCTGGACACCTTATAATCTATGAGTAAATTGCCACCGAAATTAAACAAAAAATGTAATATTTGCAAATAAATCAGCTTCTATCGTGATGTTTTTTGTATTTATAACTACAATAACTTATTGAAATGTTAACAAAAACAAAATAATATTTTTATATTTAAAACCTTAGGTATTTTCCTTTCATTTGATATCATTTTTTTTGAAAATTTAACACTTATTCTACTCACAGGGGAGGAATTAAAAATGCAAAATTTTTACAAAAACTAACTATTTCAACTTAACTTTTGAAAATTTTTTTACTTTTTAAAGTCGAAGAAGTAATTTTTAAATTTGAATTAGCTTAAATTGCTTATTTTAATACGCAACGGAAGCAACGAACATTTGCCGAATTGGTAACACTTATGTTATTCAAGCTAAAGGTACGAGGTTCGCATCCGCCTGTGACTAACTGATATCTTGCATTTTATTTGAGTTAGAAAAAAATTTTCAAATCATTTAATATTAATACATTATACGAGGTGTATTGATAAAATAACAGAAATTTTCGGTTTTTTAAAAAAATATTTATTTATTTGTCTATATTAATGTTGTCATCTTCAAAAAGTCCTCATTAGATATTATTCACTTGTGCCAACGTTTCATTCAATCCTCAAAACATTTCAAGCTCGATCTTTGGAATAGCCTTCAGCTCATTCAGGGATGTGCTTTTAATATCATCTATGCTTATAAAACGATGGGCCTTTGAGGTTCTCTTTATTTTTGAAAACGGAAAAAAATCACACTTAGCCATGTGCTGGCGAATATGGAGGCTAGGGTATCGCTGCAGTATTGTTATTGGCCAAAAATTCATAAATAAGCAAGGAAATGTGAGCAGGTGCATTATTGTGGTACATAAGGCATGAATTGTTTTGCTACTATTCCGGGCGTTTTTTTCAAATTGTTTCACGCAAACGGCGTTGAACTTGTAATACTCCTTATTGACCGTTAGATCTCGTGGGAAAAATTCATGATGCACTATGCCATTAAAATCGAAGAACACAATAAGCATAACCTTCAAATTCGATCTCACTTGTTGAGCCTTTTTCGGCCTTGGCGATCCAGATTGCCTCCATTGGGACTATTGAGCATTAGTTTCGACGTCGTATCCATATACTCATGTTTCGTTACCTATTTTAACACGTTTCAGTAATTCTGCATCATTAATTGACTCCTGAGCAATTTCCAATCACCGCTCTTTTTGTTCAAAATTTAACAATTTTGGAACAAATTTTGCTGCTACGCATTTCATACCTAAAACATTAAAAAAAATTTCATAACATGAGCCAATCAATTTTCCAACTTTTATATAATATTCACTTTTTCCACGTTTTTTCATCGGTTGTTGATGTGCTGGTAATTCTGGGGCATTCGTCATCTTCAAAGTCTTCACGGTAATCTTAAAAACCCTTGTTTTACTCATGGCAGACTAACCATAGAACTTTGTTAAAATTTCACACACTTCATTTCATTTTTTACAAAAAATTTGATGTAAATCCTTAAATATATTTTTTCAAACAAATGAAAATTGCCGAGCTCATCAAAAAACGTCTAAACCTTAGCGGCTACCTCTAACAAAGCTAAAAATAAATCTAGCTGAAAATTTTATCATACTTCAGGGACATGTATACCAATGTTATGAATTTTTTTTTTTTTGATAGTTGGACTTTCAAAACCTGTGAAATTTAGAAATTCTTGTTATTTTTTGAACACATCTCGTATACATTTTCTACATTATTATTATTGAAAAGTATCGTTCAACCATAAAATACCGATTCTACCGAATAATTCTCCCGATTAGTACGCGCCTCCCTACTAATAATGTCATATAAGTCTCAATACTTGGTAGATTACGAAGAAAAAAAAACAAATTTTTCCTAATTTCCTATACTTCAATTTTAAGTCTTCAAAAATATTAGGCACCCTACTATAGACCATTTAACCCTTCGTCTTTGGTATGCTAATCTAGATAAAGAATGTATAATATATAATATATTTATAGTATTAATTCCATCTCTCAACAGTGATGATTATTTGGAGGTGAGGGTTGACACCCTTTTATTGAAAAAACCTACTTGGTAACTTAGTCTTATACTTTTTCTCTTGGTTTTTTAGAACGAAACCTTAAAAAAAAAGTCTCATATTAGACCTCATTTTGTATATACACAACTCTATAACTGCCTAAGCTTTTATAGAACTCTCCGAAAAAAAAAATATCTGAGTTAAACATTGGCTATGGCGTTTTATTAAAAGTTTTTTAAATAATTTATACATATTTTGAAAATTTATATATATTTATACTTAATTGTTCAAATAAATGTTGTAAAGTATTATTTTGTATAAGTTGTCACAAACAAAAATAATTAACTAGTATTATGCCAATAAAATCAATAATTGATAAAACAAAGGATTAATCAACTGATAGGGAAAAAGTGTTGAGCAAAATTATAAAACATATTTATTATTTAGTATGGTTATTGGATAAAGACTATTATGTAGACTTTGGTTGAACACGGAAACTGGTAATAAATTAAACATTGTAAGTGATAAACTACTACTTGATTCTATTTTTTAAATGTATAATTTAGCCAATTCAGACATTTAGCATTTTCCCCTCCTCAATTAATATACAGAATGTTCAGTAAGTAAGCAATCAGGCCAATTGTTACAAACAATGAGAACAATAGAAACTGTTACCTTACTTATTGAACACTATATATATTTTAATAATTTAAGTGAATCTACATATTAATTTCTTTTTAATTTACGAGAAATGGTTTGATTCTTAAAACATGATGAACAAGCAGCGTATAAATAAATTATAGCTAAGTTAAACAAGAAAATTGTCCAAAGGGTTCGGATCTTCAACATTTTTTCAAAATATACACATATTTAAATATATAAACCCAACTAAACTCTATATGTATGAATATATATTTAGGATGATCCCTATTTAATATTATGGATACGGTCCTGACGATGGATAAATTTATTTATGGGACTTGATATAATTTAATATTGTATCAAAAATTAGACTCTTGATGTATACCCACACTCTAAAAAAATTAATAATCAAAACATTTTATTAAAATAATTTTTTAGTTACAATTATTGTAAATCTTTTAACTTCATTTGAAAAATCCAAAGGTTACAAAGATACAATACTCATCTAGATAGTTCTCACCATCAATAAGCCTTTAAAGATTGCTTGTATATCTGATAAGTATTATCTTGGAACCCTTTTTTATCATTAACATATGGTAACAGATAAAAGCTTATAAGTTTATGTTGTTCTTCAACTATTTAACTATTTCTATTAAAATTATTTTAAGTTCTAATTATATGCTGAAACTACTTGATCACTTAAAAAAATATATTTTTTAAATGATGTTGTTGTAAATTGTCTACATTTTCAAAAACTTTATTTATTGAAATAATGCAAAATCTTAACGATCTTCTCGACATTTGATTTACAAAATAAAACATCATTAAATGGATTGTAAATTATTACTAGAATAAACTCAATAATATTCTTAAAAGCATAGTTACTTAAAATTTTAGATGTTGATAAATCATTTTTTTTCTGATGAAAAATTTAGTTGTAGAGGTTCAATTAAATTTTGAAATGGAAGTTTTATATAAAATTTCATAGTTACTAATGTGACTAATTATTTTCTCATTATTTTCTTAATTAACTAAGAAATGTGTCCATATTATTCAATTAAAGACACATGTTGTTTTATAGAAGTCTTATATACTTTTGAAATAAGATATAAAATATTTTTAGAAAACTTAAAGGTGAAAGTTATTAATCTTTTTTTTGTCCTTTAAGATTCTGCGTTTATTATTGTTTGTCATAGATAGTTTTCAAAATATTAATTATAACATTTGGTAAACAAATCAAATAAAAAATAATAATGGATGATATTGATATTTACTTACCTCAAAGAGTTGAAAGTGGAAACAAAAGAATTGAAGAAGACGGTATCAATATTGAATTTAATAATATCTCATTAGCAATAAATAATTGGAATTCATTGATTATCAAAAATTGGAAACTAGGTAATTAGTAGAATTAGTCATGTCATATTAGGGATATTTACTTAGAATTATTTAATATATTATTTTTACAGAAAAAAAAACTATTCTAAAATCTATAAATGGCATTTTCTATAAGAATCAAGCTAGTGTTATTTTAGGATGTTCAGGATCAGGAAAGTCTTCGTTATTGAACATCTTGTCAGGCTTTAGGTTGGTAATAATTTATTTATAAATATATTAAAATGATATTTTACTCTAACCTTTTGAATATAAATAAAAAATATTCTTGTAAACTTGTTACGAACAAAGGTGTATGTATAAGTATTTAGAATAAGCAATTTGGTTACTTTAATTAGTTTTCCTTTGAATAATTTATTTTATTTTAAAAAGGTAGGCTTAAGTTTAAACTAATATTTAATAATGTAAAATACTATATTAGTATAGTTGATATTATTAACTATATTTTAAGAGGGGTTATCATAATAATTTATTATTGACAAAAAATTTGTACTTTGTAACTTAACTTATTTAAGTCCACAAATATAAATTTTAATTTTAATTAGTAAAACTAGGAGGACTTATATAAAACAGCTCTACATCAGTCCTAATAATTTTATTAGTGAATGAGAAGTATCCAACAAAGACATTTGAGGATATCTCATGGAACGAGGGACTAATAGATTTAATTAGTGAAAAAGAGGTATGGAAGACTGTGGAAACAATAAAAAAGAATAAAGCAATTTGACCAGATGAAGTGCTGGTAGAAGTATGGAAAATACAAGACAGTGTTGAAGGATCTTTTTAATAAAATCCTATTAGAAGGAAAAATAGTGTCTATATTTAAAGGTAAAAGAAAACACATAGAAATATAGAAATATTAGAGGCATAAAGCTTATGAGTCATAGTATAAAAAGAAGAAGAAAAAGCTGTGTATGGTATTTATAAATTTAAAGAAAGCGTAAGATAGAGTACTGAGAGAGGTTTTAAAAATGATATTAATGAAAAAAAGAGTTCTAAAATGTACATTAATGTAAAAGAGGATATATATGATGGCACATGTACTAGGGTAGAAACTGAGGACAGAATACAGAAGATTTTAGGGTAAAAGTAGGAGCGTACCAAGGTTATGCTTTAACTTATTTTCTATAGTGATGGATAAAATCACTAAATAAACACAAGGAGAGGCACCATGGTGCATGTTATTTGCTGACAATAAAGTATTAATAAGAGAAAATAGGAAAGAAATTAATCAAAGGCTAGCGATGGATAGAAGGTAAAGGATTAAGAATAAGTAGGAGTAAGATAGAGTATATAGAGTACGACAAAGGAGAACACGAGGTAGGTGAAATGAGGAAATCAGTGATAATATACGAGTGTGGGTAGGTGAAGTAGAAAACATTGTCTGGTCTGTTATGAAATAAGAGGATTCCAATGAAACTGAAGATAAGTTTTATAAGACTGTAGTGAGACCAGCTATGATGTATGGTTCAGAGTATTGGGCGGTTGACATGAAAATAGAGCAGAGCTGTGAAAGTTTAGATGGATGAATGGAGTGACTAGAGAAAATAGGACAAGGAACGAATATATAAGAAGAAGTATAGGTGTAGCATCAATCATGAATAAGATGAGAGAATATAGACTTAGATGGTTATGTTATGAAGAGAGAGGAACAGAAGCTGAAAAACAGATATGGAAAGGAATTTTGAGCTAAAAAAGAAGGATAAGAATAAATATTGTTAATAAAATAATTAGAAATGTATGTAATTATAAAATAGTATATTGATGGGTGACTTACTAATTTTGTAATATAAAATTTTTCACATTAATTAAATTTCTATCTGAAAAGTTATATTTTTTTAGTTTTGTTATATATTAATTAGAACAGATCTTTTGAAAAAAATATGTCATTGATCTTAAAAACAAACTTAATGTACTAATTTAATTTTTAATTATTTTCAAATAGTTATTAATAAGTTATTTAAAGAACTTTTACTATTTAGACATAGTGGTTATGAAGGCCACGTTACTTCAAATGGTGCTCTACGAAATTTATCATCTTTTAGAAAAGTTTCAAGTTATATAATGCAAGAAGATCATTTACAACTATATTTAACAGTTTTGGAATCAATGAAAATTGCTTTGAAATTAAAATATTCAATTATTAAACTTGAAAATAAACAAAATGTGTTTGTTAGTATTTATAAAGTTATTAAGGAACTGTAACTAATTTTAGTTACATTACTATATTTTATAGATAATAATAAATTTTCAAAAATATTTCCACAGTATTTTATTTATTTTTAGGTAGGCAAACTGTTAAGTGATTTATTTCTCTCTGATAGAAAAGATACTTTAGTTTACCAACTGTCTGGTGGTGAGCGAAAAAGATTAATGATTGCTTTAGAATTGATTTGTTCTCCAAAAGTATTGTTTTTTGATGAACCTACTACGTAAATAGTGTTTTTTAAAAGCTAATTATTCACTGTATACAATAATTGTTGAAGTTTATTATAATTATTTTTATGTTTAGAGGATTAGATATTGTTTCTGCAAATAAAATTATAAAAATAATTAGAACTTTAGCTAATTCTGGTAAAACTGTTGTTTGTTCAATTCATCAAGCTACAGCTAATCATTTATTCATGTTTGATTTGGCATATGTTTTAACACCAAATGGCCAATGTATTTACAATGGAGATCCAAAACAAATGGTAAATCATTTTTCAAAAGCTGGATTTCAGTGTCCCAATTATTACAATCCTGCCGACTATGGTTAATATATGAAATTTACTAATATTTGGGCCTGAATTTTCAATTGCATTAACTATTAAAGGAATGTTAATAAAATAAAAAATATATATATATTTATAGATTTTTTTAATGATAATATTGATTTTTTAAATGTTTTTTGGGTCCCTACCTAACATTTTTTTTAAGATCTTATCTCATATAACACTAGTTTATATTAGAAAATTTACAATTAACAGTCATTTATTATTAATATAACATTATTGAAACTTAGTGACTAATACTAAGTATGGTAATTTTATAGAAACAAGAGGTCTTAGCCAATCACATTTAAGTTTGTCATTAAAAATTGTTCCCTAAAAAAATTGATTTTCCTGTTTAAATGCATAAAGTAGATAAAGTAAATATTTTAGAAATAAAATTTTATCAAAAATAATCATTTATTATTATTCAAGTTTATTTTTTCTTTATAATAGTCCATTTAATAGTAATGTTGAAAATTACGGCCTTGCTAAAGAAAATATATATCTAAACTTGTATTTTTATAAAAAAAAAAATAGTGATTGAACTAAGTTTGGGTGAATATGGTGACATTAATGAATTGATACATGAAAATGTATTTAAATACCAAAAAACTGGTAAGAATACTATATTAATATTCAAATAAAAATTGCATATTTTTAGTTGCTAATCTTTAGATTAAATCAATATTTCTTTAACCAATATTCAGGGGTATGTTGTGCTAAAGTGGTCATTCGTGTTGAATTTATTTAATGTTTACATTCAATAAATGGGTCAAGTACACTGACTAATTATGTTCATTTTTTTTATAATTAATTTATTTTCGATAAGGATTCCATGTTTTTTTTTAATTAAAATTATATTTAAAACTAACATACATATTTCAGTATGTGTTTAGTGTTGTTGATGGTAATATTATTCCTGAAGTACATAAACACTGTTTATTAGTTTTAAATATTTAAAATATATTTTTAATTTGAAATAATATTCATAAGTTATTAATTTTTATTATATATCATTTTTTTAAATAGTTTTATCTGATCACTTGGTTTATTTGTCCGCTATAAAAGATAATAATGTATAAACAGAATTTATTATTAAAATTATTTATTTTTTGTTTATCTTCTGAAAAATTTAAATATAATGGAGATGAGTGGTTATTGCAAAGAACTATTCAAATTTAATACTTATTTTCAGAACTATTGAGCTATACATTTTTCAAATAAAAACATCATATAGCTGAATTAAAATTTAATTTAACTTAAATGTTTAACAAATATTAGTTATTCCTTATCTTAATGACATGAAATATAGTTTTGGTGTATATATTAGATAGGTAATAATAGAATAAAAAAGTTAACACAATGGTTTTTTTCAGGACATTGTACTAAAAAATCAATTATTTATGTGAGAGAAAATCAAAGAAAATTCTTGTATGAAGTATTGATAATCATGCATCGAACTATATTAATTACAATGAGAGATCATGTAAGTTGTTAGAAATAATCATTTATTAAGTAACATAATATAAAATTTGTTTTTAGTTCCATGTTAATATTAGATTATTCGTTCATTTCTTACTTGGAACTATGTTTGGAGTTGTTTATTTTGGTTTGGGAAATGATGGAATGTATGTTCGAGATAATGCAGTGTTACTTTTTTTTTGTGTTATGTTTTCAGTGTATGTAGCAGCATTTACTATGTCTGTTAAGTGTAAGTAGACAAAATTTGTTAAGTCTGTTAAGATGAATGACTTGATATCAGTATTGATATTTTGGTCTACCCCAAAAAATAAAAACTCTTCTTGCATGGGTGTTGGTAACATGCTGTTTCCATGTAAGGCAATATAGAAGATAGACCCCTTCCATGATGAATTGTTATTTTAATTATAGACTGTTTAATCCACTACGAAGCAACTATATTTTACTTAAAATATATATACTATAAATATTGTACTTGAATATATAATATAAAGCATTTAATACAGTTATACATTTTGTAATATCATCAGCATTTTTAACAATATCAATATGTAATAATATACACCTAAGTGTCATTTGTCAATAAATAACTTAAAACTTAACTATTTGAGTTTTTCATTTAAAATCAAATGTTTTTGCTTGGATGCCAACAAATTATGCACTTTGAAACACTTTAAATTAACATATTACACTAATAAAACACGATATAATGCAGAAATCTGTGCTGTTCATAGTGTTATTGTATAAATTCAATAGTATGGTAATAAACTGCCATAAATTACCAATAAATATTGTATATTTATCGATCTATGTACTTATTTTTGACTGTTAATTAGTGCTTGCTTTATAGAGGTATTAATGTATATTCCCTATAATACTTGCTGGGACCAAAAATATGTATGTTTCATAAAGGTGAATGTCATTGAAAGTTATATTCTATTTTATACATAATTAAAAAAATAAAATTTCAGTTCCACTTGAGTTTTCAGTAATGCAAAGCGAATATTTTAATCAATGGTATTCTTTAAAATCTTATTATATTTCCATGACGATTGTAGATTTACCCATACAGGTAATATTTTAATATTACTTTTTTTTTGAAATATATTATTTATTTATTATTTCAATAGATAAGTTGTTCTTTATTATTTTGTATTTTAATATATTTATTGTCTGGTCAACCACTTGAGACTTTTAGAGTATTTATGTTTCTCTTGATGTTTATAATGACTGGTTTAATGTCTCAGGCAATAGGAATGCTTGTTAGTACATTTTTTCAAAACTTTACTGTAAGTGCACTCTTTAGTTTTGAATTGTAAAAATATTTAAAAAATGATTCTTTGCAGATTAATTCTGTAGTAGTTGCTCTTATATTATTATTTTGGACAACTTATGCTGGTGGCATGATTCGAATAGCAGATACCCCTGAAATATACAAATGGCTATATGATTATTCATTTATGAAACACTCAATACAAGGAGTATTACATTCAGTTTATGGTTTTAATCGTTCTATACCTTGTTCAAGTGTAGGTATAATTAATTATTAACATTTTTCAACTATACTGACTTCTTTGTTATGTGATAAGATCAGTTTATAAAACAAAACTTGATACATCTGAATCTAAATGAAAAAATAATTTATTTTTTCTTAAAAAATTAGTAAAATGCTGAATCTAACCATTAATAATAGCCACATTAATTAAAATTTGAAGTAATGAACTGGAAAAGGTATCAAATTACAAAAATTTACTTTTAAAAGAGTAAAACCATTTATCTAAATTACGTAAAATTTTGTGTCTTTTGTTTTCAACTTATTTATCGTATATGAAAATTTAGTTAATAATTTTTACCAGATTATAAGATGTGTTTACTATGTTTTCCATAAAAAAATGATTTTTGTTTGACTTAGTACTTTCCCATTTCATTGCCTCAATTATTGTTTTGTTAATGGTATACAAGTGATCCGCTTATCATAAACCACTCAGTTACTCTCAAAATAAATACAATATACCAGTACTTCGAAAGTTAGTAACATTTTTATATGTGAAAGAGGAGTGGCAGCTGTGAAATTTCTAATGATAAAATTAGCAGCATTCACATTTTACCTCAGATCATTACTTTAAATTGTTAATAACTTCTGAAATACTGATTCAAAAGTTATTATCAAGCCATCATTTAGTTAATAATAAAGAATTTCTTTCCTATTTATAAGCTAATTAAATATATTTAAAATAAAATTTATATACCTTTAAGTTACAAGAGATAATACTAAAAAGTAATTAATTGCAGATAAAAATCAATTAATGTATACAACTAGACATACCTAACATTTTTTGTCAACATAGTATATATTTTGTGAGTAATTAAGTGGTTTATAATAAATGGATCATTCTGTATAAAAGAGATAAAAAATCAGATTACTTCAAAAATATGATGGTCATGTATTTACAAATACATAACATATTGTTCAAGTATTTATTTATTTTTTAATTATCCTAGATATTTTGTTTATATGGATCACCAAAGTTCATGCTACAAGTTCTTGGAATGAGTGAGAATATATATTGGATTAATTTTAGTTTTATTGTTATCATATATATTATTTTAAAAATATGTATTTATTTTTCTATTAAGTATAAATTGTCCAGTAATAAATAAATAGCCTTAATATAATTCTATAACATATAAATATTATATTTTATTGCTACATGTATTAACATTCATGAAAAAATGGTTGTGCTCCTGAGTAAAGACAAGGTAGCCAGAGAGCCATGCCATCCATTAATTATAACGTTTATCTTGAAAATTAAAAAATGAGCAAAAAAGGTCCAAAATATATAGTTTATACATTTTTTTGTAAAAAAAAAAAATGTCCGTTCCACAAAAATCCTAGCTATGCCATTGTATCTTACTAATTCTAATAAGTGATACTCAAAAATGTATAAAATGCATCAAAAATTTTGAAATATATTACTATTTTGTTCAGTTAAATAATTTAAAAATTATTCGTTTGCAAATTCTTATATAAAATCAAAGGAAATAAATTTCTTTCATTAGTTCCATAAAAATGGAAAACTGATAGAGTAGGGGGGTTGTGAATGTTAACATTTATCAGTGTATATGTGCAATTGATTAAGATATGGACAATATTAGTGAATATCACTGTTGAGTGAGAGCATTTACTGGACTAAGGTCTTTCACTATAACATATATATATTACAAAATAATCTACTTAATTTCATTTTGGGTAAATAATAAGCTTTATATCCAGTTATTTATTAAATATCCTTCAAGACCAACCCATAGTAGAGCCTATACAAATCTTAGTAGCTTATAAGTATTAACAGTATTAATAAGAATAAAATTACTGATTATTTAAAAAAAAATTCTTTAAAAATAGTTTCAATAGTTATCATTAATGTTTATGTTTTTAGCTTTTTTTAATTAAATGAAATATTTTTAATTATAAACAATTTATATTAATAAAATATATATTTATTCAAGTAGTGATGTATTATAATGGATAATTATGTTAATTTTTTTTTAATTAGTTTTAAAAATATATAGTTATAATAAAGCTAAATAAAACAGATTTTTCTTAAAAGTGAATATTTTTCAAGAATTGTATTTTTTCTATAATTTTAGATAAAGAAAGTTCCTAATGTCGGACAATAATATAGTGATTTAATATTTCTACTAATAAAAGGTTTCCATACTTAAAAAATATTTTCTCTAGTATTTTATTGTGACATAGTTTAAATGTTTAAATTCTATTAAGTCTTCTTCTTCCTCGCCTTAATCTCAACTACTTGGGGTTTTTATTTAATTCATATTTTTAGATTCAAGAACTAACAATTGGCCATTGGTACAAGGTATAACTTCAACATTAACGTGTGTTGCAATTTATTTATATTTAGTTTTATATTTAGGATCCAAATTTATGGAAAATAGAAAACCGTTTAAAATAATGCCAATTATTAAGGTTTATAATGTATTGCAATTGATAGCATGTATTACAATATTTTGCATGGTAAGTTTATTAAATTAGTTTTATATGTAATATATATTAAGAAGCTCTTATAAACGTTCATTGATCGTACACTCTAACTTTTTTCGTTATTATATGAAAGTCATTTGGGTAAAATTTGATTTTGATAACTTTCCCCCTTCAAGTGTCGAATCGGGGTTGAAAATTCGCTCAAAAGTGTAATTTTTCAGTTTTTGATCATTATTTCTAAAATTAAAACACTTAGCGTAAAAATGTATAGAATATAAATAATAAATTTTAATATTTTCTTTAAAAAACATATTTACAAAAATTTTCTAAAATTATTTTTACTTACTCAAAAAATTAAAATAAAATACCTAGCACAGGGGGGTCGCGGCACAGAGGTGACGTGGCGTAGTTGGATCAAGTATAATGATATCTGACAGTGATTAAAATCATTATCAAAAAAAAAATACTTCGATGCAAATCTTTAGATAGTGTTTAATTTTAAAAAATTGGTGAATTATACCAAAAGCTGTATGATCTGCTATTTTCTTATTATTATCTTGATTAAGATAAAGTATGTCGAATGAAAAATAGATTATTAAAAAATATTATTTCTCATAAAAAAATACTTTTCAATAAGTTGTAGCATTATAAAGTTAAACATGTAAAAAATAAAATTGAGAATTTTCACACAAAAATAGCATTTGGTAGCCATCTTCGCTATGAAGACAAAATAAAGTCCAACATTTTTTAGCTTCGATGCGAAGCTGAGAAGGTATTAATTTTACTATGATGTGTTTATTTTTTTTTTTTTTTTGTGTCTGTTACCACTTTTTCTCAGCTCTCGCCGAACGGATTTCTTTCAACGATACGTCAAAAGATCACAAATCGTATCTAGTCGAAGACATTACCCTCAAAAATTAAAAAAAATTCCCTCGTTCCCCGTAAACTGGGGAAATCCCCCAAAAAATTACAAATTTAAAAATCACTAATTTTCGATATTTTTTCAATTTTTTTTACTAAAAACTGCCGTAACTTTTTCAAAAATGAACATATCAATATAATTTTTTTTTATATAGATGCTTGATGTCTTTACCTATCATTTGGTATATTTTTTTTGTAAATCTGACACTTAACCTGCCCACAGGGGGGGATTTAAAATGACAACTTTTTCACAAAAAATTAACTTTTTCAACTTAACTTTTGAAAATGTTCCGGAAGGTCTGACACTTTTATATATATCTTAAATTAAAGCTAATGTAATGTACTTTAATTTGAAAAAAAAAAATTTGACCTCTGGACTTGTCTTCACGGCAAAAATGGCTACTGAATGCTATTTTCGTGTGAAAATTCTCGATTTTATTATTTATATTATATTTAACTTTTTAATGCTATAACTTATTGAAATTTTTTTTTAGTTAAAGTAAATCATTAAAATTAATTCAGTTCTGGATATTTCAATTGTAAAATCTTTTTAAATACCAAAAGTTACTTAGAAATGATTACTATGATTCCTATTTAAGTGTTCTATTATGATAAAAATGCAAAAAAATAATGAGTTTTTCTGACAAATATACTGTAAATAGTAATTATAAAATTTCCTGATTGCATATTAATCTTATAAATAACATTGTTGATGTCAATTTANAATTATAAAATTTCCTGATTGCATATTAATCTTATAAATAGCATTGTTGATGTCAATTTCAAATTTGTAATTGAGCTAAAAGTTATGGTAACATATTCAATTTTTTTTGCTATAAACTTTCACAAAAATTTTTCATCAACTTAAAGAACCAAAAAAATAGGTTAAAAATAAAAATTTGGACTGTTATTTTTAGCATATTAAAAATCAAATTAGTAATAATTTGAAAAAAAAATGTTTTTCTTTTAATTATTATTTTATATGTAATTAGTAATAATATAAAAAATTAGAAGTGATAGAAAAGGTCTAATTGCAGATTTGAAATCAACGCGAAAAGTTGATTTAGATAAGTATATTTTTGCTTCTGATGAAAGTTCCTTTTAGTCCAGTGCATTTATTTATAAGAACAAACATTTTTTATTGAAAAGTATTGCATCAAGCCCTTTAAATTTTTATACGCGTTAAAAGTATATAAATATACAACTACTTTATTATTTTTATAATTTCTTCGTATAAATTACAATATTAAATTATTGAATATTAATTTCATACTAAATTTAAAAACTATAATTAGTATTTATTCATATATTATATTTTAAAATCAAAGAACTACTAATCAGGATATAATTAAAGAAATAAGAGTTGATGTTGCTTTTGGAATAATCCACCAATTTCTCTAAATGAAACACTATCTACAGATTTACATCGAAGCGTTTCTTATGATAGTGATTTTAAACACTGTCAGATATCATTTATACTTGTCCCATCTATGCCTCGTTCACACTGTGCTTCGACCCCACAGTGCTACCGTTTTTATATTACGTAGATTTAATTTTATTGAGTCTTTGGAAAAATCAGAATATATTTTTTTTTGACGTCTTCATATCTCATGGTAAAATAAAATAAAAATTATGAAAAAAATGTCTATATAAAGTACTTTTAATATGAAATAGCACATACTACAGAATTTTTCGAAACAAATGCTCATTCAACTTCAAAGATTTGTCTAAATACTTGTTGCCACAACGTGCTATAGTTCAATAAGAATTATAAATAAGTTTTTACTTTTAGTTATAAGCAATATTTCAATAAAAGTTAATACATCGCTCTACTATAATTTAATTTACAAAATTTTTTTATATTATATTATTCATAATCGTTTTTGATCATGTTATTCTGTTACAAAAAATATAGTTTTTGATAAATAGAATTTTTCATGTGTAAAGAACACTATTTGAATTAGTTTTAATCCAAATAATTCAAATATCTACTGCTTTTGTATTTTATTTTAATGTCAACAACAAAAAGTCAAATAAACTACAGTCTCTAGAAAATTTCATACTTCAATACTCCCGAACACTATTAAAAACAATGTTAATAACATATCTTGTTTGAAGAGACCTACACTAATTAATAAGAAATATTTAGTTGAAAATAACACCCTCACAGCTTTATGTAAATACGTTTTTTTACTCAAATCATAGAAAAAAATAACATAATATTTAAGCTAGTGAAATAACAATAAAAAATTTAAATAAAACGATAAATTTAAATAAAATTTAATTAGTAAAAGTAATAAAATCAAACTATAACTATAATATTAACAATAACGATGATTATATATGTAGTTATTATAGTTATAGTTTAATGAAAATATATGACGAATAGTATATAAAATATTTATGCATTTAAATCTATTCGCTAGTTTTAAATAAAAGTACTAAAATAATCATTAAACAATAAATAAAATCGTGAATAAAATTCAATGGACTAGCAAACAGGGTCGACACTAAAAATAATTGTAGGAAGGTGTATATTATAAAGAGTGTTTAGTAAGTAAGGAAACGGATTTCTATTGTTCTCATTTTTATAACAAATGACCTGTTTCCTAAATGAACACTCTCTATCGTTTTTTCTAATTATAAAAATTAAATAAATTTTTATTATTAAATAACTTTTTTATTTTAATTTTAAAATATCTAGAAAAAGAAATTAAAATATGGGATTGGTTGAGTATTAAATTCCTCCTAAAATTTTTTATAACGCCGACCAATACAATATAAAATATGGAAGATATTAAATTAATAGATTTTTCTAAGTCTTAACTAAAAATTTATAATTATAGTAAAATATGTTATTTACAGTTCTTAAATTTCTAAACATCAATAAAAATAGTTAAAATATTCATTTTACACTTAATTTAAAAGTTATAACAAAAAAAAAACATATAATATTCTAATAGAGCATACTAAAGTTTATCTGCATGTAGTACGTGTAAAATATTGAAAATGTTTAATATGACAGTAATTTATCATTTATTAATGGTTACCACACACAGATAGATATGTAATGCCTAGTTGACACAATAAAGTCGTGGAATCAACCAAAATTTACTTTATGATTAGAAAGATATTTTTTTAAATATTTCTTTATTTACAATTCAGGAGAATTAGATTTTCTTTTTATATATTTAGAGAAATAGTCGGGTCTCCAGCATTTACAACTCCCAGGAACCAAAAACCAATCATAGTAAAGTCTCACCTAAAAAATATATTTAAAATATATACAAATTTTACTATACTTTTCTTATACTAACTTAAAGTTAGTATTCTAGTTAGTAATACCTGAAAACAACCAAGTTCGTCTATACCATCGCAATGAGACTTTTTCTTTAGTATTGTATTTGATCCTTGTGAAGACGATGCACTGTTGTCTCCCACACTTTGAGTAGTGCGCTTTTGTAAATATTGTTGGAAATTCTGAAAATCTTGAACGGGAGGAGGTTCATCAGAATTTCTATGCAAACCTTGGGTTGGGGAACTCATTGATGGCGATCGTCGTACATTATTAGAAACAGATGGTAAATATGTGTCTGGGTAATAAACTTCTGCTACAAGTAAACTGACCCATCTTGGGGATGACAAACATCCCCCGTCAATATAATGACATTTTGATTGTCTAAAAAATTATTATTAGATCGTTAATTCATGTTAAATGTATGATTAATTAAACTAATCATTTTAACTTCTGAAACAACAGGTAAGCTCTAACACTATGACATAAACCTGGAACATTGATAATATGTGGGAACCTAGTTTAACTTAAACAAAAACACAGGCCTTAAATTATTACTTGATTAGCAAAAAAAACTGTAGCGCATTGGGGTTACGGCACAGCCTGGAAGTGGGAAAATTGTGACAAGTATATATTCTATGTCAATTAAATTTATATAATATTTTATAAAAATCACTATACTTCCTTGAAAGGTATTTAAGAATAAAATAAAATACAAAACTGAGAAAATTAACAAAAAAATAGCATATTTTATAGTACGATAACCATGAAGACAATCTATAGTTGGAATTTTATTTTTTTCATAACAAAGTATATTACATAAGTTTTAGTTTAAGATATATATATATATAAGTATCAGTATTTCCGGAACAATTCCAAAAGTTAAGATGAAAAAGTTAATTTTTTGTGGAAAAGTTTCTATTTTGAAACCCTCTGTGGTCAGGTAAAGGGTTAAATTTTCTCAAAAAATATACCTAATGGTAGGTAAATATGTAAGGTATCTATGAAAAAAAATTATGTTGATTTATTCATTTTTAAAAAGGATATAGCAATTTTAAGAAAAATATCGAAAATTACCAATTTTAAAAATTGTAATTTTTTGTTGGATTTCCCTCATTTACGGAGAACGAGGGTAGTTTTTTCAATTTTTGAGGATAATGTCTTTGACTAGATACAATTTGTGGTCTTTTGACGTATCGTTGAACGAAATCGGGTCAGTGAGAGCTAAGAAAAAGTGCTAACAATCACAAAAAAAAACTCAGGAAAATAAAATTTTTAAAAAATTATTTGTTATGCCACTTATTTTTTTTATTTAAGTACTAACTCTAAACAGATATAGAAATGTAATATCTACTTACGTGCATTTCGTAACTTCAACAGTTTGTGTAAAATATCCTTCGTATGGTATTTGTACTACATATCGCCACATTCCTTGATAATTTCGTGCAAACACTGGTGTAGCATATTCAACTTTTGCTGGACAAGGTGTTGGTGGACCATCCATGATTGCTTGAGGTACGTTACCAGTGTCTCGAGTTCTGTACTCTAACTGTTCAGTTCGTCGTTGAGCTAACAACCCAGACAAAGCCTGTCCTTGGATAGCTTTGTATAACAAGCACAATCTAAGATATAAAAATAATTCGTATAAGAATTTTTCAAAAGTATTAAACTCATACATGTCTAACTCTAAACTAGATCTAGAGAAACCATAAGTTATAGTATTAAAATTTTTGTTGAGAAATTTTTTCTAATATTATTATTTATACTACAGGCTAATTAAAGGATAGCTTATAAAAATAAATAGCTTCTTCTACCGAGTATTTTTGTGTTAGCTAAGCTTTAAGTTATTATTTTATTATTATTAATTCTTAATTATTTATATGTATATTTATTAGCTTAACGGAATTCAGAAATTTCAATATTCGCCAAATCGGATTTTTTTTGATATATTGTATTGTATAAACTTATCAGATCTTTTTTCTTAAGTTTTTTATTACTGCCTTAAACATAAAACCGAATTATGTTAAAGGCAGCCTTTAACATAATTAAATAATAATGTCAATTCATTATAAATTGACTAATTGAATATTTTAGAACTTTGAATTATTTATAGTTATTTTGCTTTGAAATATTTTATAATAGTTATTTTAATCTCTGATGAAATTCAATCTTTATTAAATTACAACTGTACTGTGTTTAATAGCTATTTGTTTAGGACTCTCCCTTAATTCACTCATTCTTTTAATAATTAATAAATAATATTGTTAATTTACACTCCGCTGCTATTATCACAGAATTTCCTCGAGTGCCTAGTACTGTTTTTTGATTGAATATTTTCGTTATCTTCATCCATATTCACGTCGTCTAAAGAACTCGATCTTGCTCTTCGTCGAAAAGGCTTACCTCTAAACAAATTATGATCAACAAGTTTACTTAATTTTTACTTTGGCTAACATTTGAAATATGTTTTTTTATGGCAATAAGTTTAAACTTACTGTAAATATTTTTGTGTTGTAGTACTACTACTGTGGTAATAAGTTTCAGGTGGTACATATTTTGCTACTTTTGGTATCGTTTCATCAGCCTTCAGGATTGGTAAAGTTTTACTAAAAAACTCCAACGTCTTATTCTTCACGAGTTCACTGTTATAATATATACAGGAAAGTTTAATATTTATAATTCATCTAACAATTTGAAAAAGACTCGAATATAAAGGATAATCAGTAGAATACTTACAATGGATATGGTGAGCCTAGCACATTTTGTTTCATTGGATTTAATGGTAGAAATCCTTTATTAAGATCGCCACACAAGTTATTTAAAGTTTTAGCCGATGGATTTTTATTAACTCCTAATATAACAAATTTAATTATTTAAAAAAACAGTTATAAATTTTAGGTTAGCCAAACTCTCACTTATTCATTAATGAGAGCTTGACCGCTGAGACCCTCAAATTTCCATTAAAGGATCGGAGTAGACTTTGCGTCCACACTTTTCTAAATTATTTTGTTCAACAATTGTTTCTCTTTTTTTAGTCAGTTATATTAAAATTTAAAATAACAGTATACTATTCTTTTATAATATTGAAACATATAATATGTTTATAGAGTGTCCCGCCGTAATTTATTGATTTTAACATTAATTTATGTAGTCAAATTAGTAAATCACGATGGGAAATTCTGTGTAATGTATGTAATATGTTATATTTTGAGACTAATATATTATAGTAGTTTCAATTATAAGTTGTTATTTTGTTAAATATTAATCAAAATTATTTTGTTACCTGGGCATAATTTTGTCGATTTAAAATAAGGAGGAGGTCGGACTTGTGGTGGCTCCATTCGCGAAGCTTCAATAAAAGCATAATACCCTTCTGACGGTTCTTGACCGGAATTATCTGAATCTGTTGGCGAGTGTGATTGAAGTTGATGAACCACAGCATCATATCTTGATATTTGAGAAATAGTTACAAAACAAAACTGTGAAGGTAATCAAAAATATAAATTAACCAAATATTATAGTCAATTAAAAAAAATAATAAATCGACTTTGCTATGCTATAACAATGATCACATATATTTAAATCTGACAATAAATCAATAAAGTGAGAGTCTAGTCTACTATTAATGTTTCATCAAAATTCCGAAATAAAAATATAGTCATCTATGAATATAGAAATTATGACATTACAACACTATAGACATTATGACCATAGAAAAAATACTAAAAAAGATTATAACGTGTTATTTTAACACGTCATAATTTTAACACAATTTTGACGTGTATTGGTTACTATAAATATTAGAAGAGCACTGTAAATATATTTTATTTTGAATTTTTTGATAAAAAATTTTATACCTAAAATATACTCCACAATATAAGATATTAATTCACCTATATAGGTGACCAAAACATAATTTTTATTATTTTACCTGTTAAATGGTAACCTTATAGTTTTAAATTAATCTTCATATTTTACAAGTTTTAAACATAAAATGGATAATTCAATATTTTTGTGTTTGCTTTTTCTAGTAGAAAAACATGTTGTTATTAGTACTTATAATACTCCATAATAATAACGGATTTGTGAAGTATAGCAAAATACTACATTGGTCATCGTTACATTATCGTAAGCATTATCATGTATCCACAATTACTCAATAGCTATTCAATCCAAAGACCTACTTTTCTTTTGTAACAAAACTAGAAAATAAATTAATTTGATAAAAGATGGGATTTTTCTTTATGACTACGAGAGAGGATAATTCAAATAAAAGAATTGAAATGTAATTTTGTGCAAAAAATATTTTTCTGAATCGCGTTAAAATGAAATTAAATATTTTAATGGTTATTATACCATGACAGTTAAATCATGACCGCAACTATAAGACTAGGTCAATAAGAAGATACTACCAACCGTTAATGTATATAGGCAAAAAATCTACTTTTAAAAAAATAACTAATTTAAAGCATTTATGTACAATGCCAGTTTCATTTTTTTTTTTCAAATTATCATAATTTGCATTTTCATATTCAAAAAAAATATTAATCGTCTATTGTTTGACTAATATATTTATTAAATAATACAAGAAAAATAAATAAAAATAAACCTAATAACTAACGTAGATATTATATACTTGTATTGTTCAGATATTAATTAAGAAATCATAATACTATAATTATCTTGTGATTTTTGAGTTAAATCAACTATAACGTGAACTTTTTGATTATTAAGCACCAAAAAACAATGAATTTTCCATTTTATTGTTTACTGAAACTATTTATTTAATAAACAAAAATAAAAATGGCAAAAAGAATAAATAATACTGAAAAAAAATTATTACAATTTTATATCTTTTTTAGAAAATGATCATCTTGAACTAAAAGTTGAGACAAAAAAATTTATCTCAACTTTTATAACTTTATTATACAAAATAAATTATTTTTATTATTATTTCAAAGATTAATTAAGTATTATCATACAAACAATGTATGTAATTGATATAGTAAATTATATAAATTAATATTTTCTAATAACCGCTTTGTTTTATTTTATTTATAAAATAAATTTTAAAATAAATCAATAATTTAAATAAGCGAAGTTTTATTTATATGTGCTAGCGCTTAAGTCTTTTTATAATTATGATTATACCACTTTTTGATGGTGTTTTACGCTAAGCATTAAAAAATCATTATATATGGACAAGTGAAGTAAATGGAAACAAATGAGGTAATTGTAAATACATTTTTAAAGGAGATACATAAGTGTTTATTTTTTATTTATACTTATAAAAATAACTGTATACATGCGAATTAAAATTATTTTATCTAAAGTAATATCAACTAAATATTCTAAGAGTAATAATGAATTTCTTATTATCCAATTAATTTACATTCTTCCACTTTACCCTATTTAATAACACTCAATTTAATTTTTTTAGATATTAGCAGTATAATCAAAAATTTTTATAACTCAAATATCAGTTAATAATCTATAATATCGTTGGATTATAAAAACTTATGGAAATAATTAACAAATACAACAAATTAATTGATAAAATACATAATTAATGGTAAAGCTTAAAAAAACAGTGTGTACTTACTAAGTATTTTGATAATATCAAAGTCATAACGTCGTGATTTTCGTGTTAAGCACATTGACCTGGTGATACATTCGAGTCTAACACTCTACTGACCTAGACTGAGCCCCTCCGAACTTGAATTGTGAATCCTTCGTTCCTCTTTTAACATTGGCCATTGCACTTCCCAAGAATAATACTACGCTGCGTACCAAGTGAACGTAAACATCAAAAACTATTGAATATTTAACACGTTATAATACTTGATTGAGACTAATTCACCTTAAAATTATCACATTTCAAATTAACTAAATTTTAAATATTATCAGGTTATTTAGATATTTTATTTATTCAGTTATAAAATGAGGTATGTCCAAGAAATTTTTTTTTTTTAATTTTACTTATCTAGTTGTTGAATCTTCCTAAGACTGCTGATGGGCTGTACTCTTAACCTGCACCCCACGCCATGGACTCCTTGTTTGGGTCCCACACTAAAGTACTTGAAAAATCCTAAGTTTTCTTTACAAGAATTTACATATATTACAATTGTATTTTAAATTTTTATATGACAATATTATATTACTCCTTAATGAAATAAAATACAAAACACTTGTACAATATAAACTATTATAATAAAAATAAATAATGTTCTATAGAATAATAAAAAAATTATACGTAGTTTATGTGAGGTACTGGTAAATATAATAGGTAAAAATACTTTGTGTATGTTAACATTTTGAAATGAGAGAGGTTACTAATTTACGAAAGGGTAATTGCTTTAATGCAGAAAAAAGTATATTTTTTCCTAGTTTTGTGACAAATATAACTATTAATTGCATTAAAATCAAAATTCAATTAAACTCGAAATTGTATTAATAATCATACAAAAAATTCATTAGTATGTTCACACAAAACCAATATATATTTCCAATAAACCTACTGTTATTAGGCGTTGTTTGAAGAATTCATCAGATTGATAAATTTTTTTATTTAGTTAATTGCTACACAATATATAAAAAAAATTATTATTTTCAGCCATAAAAAGGATTATTTCATTTATAGAAGATAAGTTAATAATCAAACAATAGTTTTAACAATAACCATTAATAATACATTTATTGTATTTTTAATGTATACACTAACTTAATATTTATGTATAATTTAAATAATATTGTTATATATTTAATTATACACATGTACGCATTGCATTCAACATTCCTATATATTGACCTAGATGCGATGTAGGAAGTATCATGAATAGCTAAGGTAATGACCCGATTCTCTTTTTTAACTGACACTAGTTCAACGGGTTGGGTTTATACTTTGTAGATATAAACAAGCATTACTGTTGTAATGAACAGATGTCATATAGTTTTTTTTCTGTTTATTATAATCAATAAAGCATTCAATATAAGGGAAAAAATCATAGTATTGTAGATAATTAATAAAATATCCGGTTTATATTTTATATACTTAAATCTTAATTTTCTTATTTTTGGTATGTATATAAATATATTGTACTAGAATTATAAATGTTATTTTTTATATATATCCTTTTTTGCCAAAAAGTACATTAAATAAAAAATCTTACTATATCAATATTTAACCCTTTAAAATTTTCTCTGATAATTCAAAGATTTTAAAATATGTTTTTATAAAATATATTGATTAAATTAAATTCTTTTTTTATTGGACTAAAAGAAAATGGTTCATAGTATCATAATAGGAACATAAATATTATCTTTATCGTTGTATCTATAGTGATTCATGTTGTTTCTCGAATGCCTTTTTAGCTATGATGCCAAGTTGAGATGAAATTAAATTTACCATTTATTATTATTATTATATTTGTCATTACTTTTTTCAACTCTCACTTTACAGATTTTTTCAATGATTTGTCAATAAATCACAAATCTTATCTAGTTAAAACACTAGTGTACGTAAGGGGGGATTTCGGGGGTTGAAACCCCTCAAAATTTATAACCTAAGCGACAATTTTGGGCGATAAATAATAAGTAATAACAATAAAAAATATCATATCTGACAATAAAGTAATCGAAAACAGGAATTTTTGTGAGCGAACAATATGGGCAGTGTCACATCTAATTTTCTTTAAATTTTAAACCCCCCCTAAATTTAATTTCTGTGAGTTAAAGTAATTACCCTCACAAAATAAAATTTTTCCATTATTCCCCGTAAATGAAAGAAATCGCCCCCAAAAAGATACTATATTTAAAATTGGTAAATTTCTACATTTTTAAATTTTTTTAAAAATGGAAGAATCAGTTAACCGCCTAACGGTAGGGATTTTAAATAGTAGCTTTTGCATGAAAATAGTAATAATATGGTTGTAAGTGGTGAAGTACCCCATTTAACCTTGCCTCTTTTATAAAAAAGATATTTAAATAAACATTTAAGTGTTAGTTATAATTATTTTGCAATTTTCGATGTCAATCCAAAGAGGGTATAAAGAAAAGGGGTTGCTATTTCAAAAGAAAAAAAAATACATGTATATATGTTCTAGTTATCGTAGTTTATGAGAAATTAAAATTTCAATTTTATGATTGAAATAATAATGATTCAGCAAATATCAGAATAATCCAATAAAAATATTGAACATTTGGTTTTTTTTTTTTATAAATCCATACTTACAGTTTTGATACACGTTTTCAATTGAAATAATGAAATATACAGCTACTTTAAAAATGTTTATAATTTCTCCATGAAAATTTTAGTACAAAGTATTGAATATTAACTTCAAACTAAATTTAATTTTTAAATTTGTATTTATTCATGTATTATACGTGTATTGTATGATGTACATTATGTACATCATAAAACTAGTAACCAGGATATAATTAGGGAAACAAAAAAAGATGATGCAGCTTTTGCAATAATTCATCTATTCCTATTTAAAAATTTAATACTATCTACAAATTTGCATTGGAGCGTTTTTAGCTTCGATTCGAAGCTAAGAAGGTATTAATTTTTTTATGGTGTGTTTTTTTTTGTGTCTGATACCACTCATTCTCAGCTATCACTGGACCGATTCTGATAAACAATACATAAAAAGAGTTAATAATAATAATATCTTTTTCTTTTTCCTCGCCTTATTTTCAGTTACTTGGGATCAGCAACCCTTATCCTAAACATCTACTTGACACGATCTCCCACATCATCTACAAACACATCAACAGTCCTCTTACCGCATTCAATAACATTCATCTATATAGCTGTTCTTACATTTTCCTATTCTATTTTCCTCATAACATGACCAAACCATCGAGCTTATTTTTAACAATATAATAAAATAATAACGTTTATAAGCGGTTATGTAAATGCTTATGAATAAATGCTTAGATAACACAAAAATACTCGGTAGAAGAAGCTATTTATTTTTATAAGCTATCCTTTAATTAGCCTGTAGTATAAATAATAATATTAGAAAAAATTTCTCAACAAAAATTTTAATACTATAACTTATGGTTTCTCTAGATCTAGTTTAGAGTTAGACATGTATGAGTTTAATACTTTTGAAAAATTCTTATACGAATTATTTTTATATCTTAGATTGTGCTTGTTATACAAAGCTATCCAAGGACAGGCTTTGTCTGGGTTGTTAGCTCAACGACGAACTGAACAGTTAGAGTACAGAACTCAAGACACTGGTAACGTACCTCAAGCAATCATGGATGGTCCACCAACACCTTGTCCAGCAAAAGTTGAATATGCTACACCAGTGTTTGCACGAAATTATCAAGGAATGTGGCGATATGTAGTACAAATACCATACGAAGGATATTTTACACAAACTGTTGAAGTTACGAAATGCACGTAAGTAGATATTACATTTCTATATCTGTTTAGAGTTAGTACTTAAATAAAAAAAATAAGTGGCATAACAAATAATTTTTTAAAAACTTTATTTTCCTGAGCTTTTTTTTGTGATTGTTAGCACTTTTTCTTAGCTCTCACTGAACCGATTTCGTTCAACGATACGTCAAAAGACCACAAATTGTATCTAGTCAAAGACATTATCTTCAAAAATATATTAATGTCATAAATAAAAAAGAAATCCCTTTAATCAAATAAAAAGTTGCTTAACAGACAATTAAAATCATTTATTTATAATGTTTTTAAAGTTCATACGTATTGCCCAATTAGATTTGATATGAGTTTCAACTACAAATTTGAATAATACTACTTTGTTTTTTTTTAAATTTTTCAACTCTATTTATTTGTTCCACTACATATCAATAATATTCCAAATTTTTTAGTAACAAATTAATGAATCATTTTTAAATTATTTAAAAAAAAAATAATTTTGAATTTCATAAACTAAAAATTGATTGGTTTTGTCATTCTGTACGTTTTTTTTATGTCTATCCACAAATATTCTCAGCTCTCATTGGACCAATGTTGATATCCAATGCGTCAAATGAATCGATTTTAATCTAGTTGAAGTAATAATAATCAAATAGTGGAAAAAATCTCTCAATTTTAGAAATTAAGACAAGTATAAATTTTATAAATATAAAATTTTATGAAAATTTAAAATATGGTTTTGATTAGATTGATATATGGTCAGAAACTTATATAATTACTATTAACGTAAAATTAGAAAAATAATACTTGTCCCAACTATGCTACGTCCACACTACCTCGACTCCACTGTGCTATAGTTTGTTTGTTAGTGATTTTAATATTTGTCAAATATCATCTATAATTCCTAATAATGTCACGTTCCTACTTTATCACAACCCCACTGTTTTTGGGTTTTTGTTGAAAAAAAAACATTTTTTTTTGTATAGCTTTAATAATTTATACTCCATAAAATAACCAAAATAGTTGAACGCATGAATACCATAAAAGGGTATCATTTTATACTTAAAAGTCAATATATATATATATATACTAGGGTGGTCCTCTGTCATAAGTCAAGCAAAAAAAATTTGATTGTTCAGTTACAAGACCCCCTAAATATTTTTTTTACTATAAGTAAAACATTTTGATGAGGTTTACGTGATTGGTCAACCCCTTACCGTGCCACAAAAGGGTTGAAAATTTGATAAATGGGGTAGTTTTATAGTTTTTTACTTATATTTCAATAACAAAAAATCGTACAAAAAAATGTTCAAGTATTAATTTGTAGATTTAAACTTGTTCTTTAAATGATGTCATAACATATTCCCTGATTAAACCATTATATGGTCTGCAAAATTTAAAAAAATAGAATAATTTAATTATTTTACAAAATCGGTTTTTTTCTATTATTTTGTTCGTATCTTACGTATTGTCGAATTTACAACAAAAAGTTTCTTATAAAATATACTTAAAATAATGCTGAGAGAAGTGTTAAACTCATGGAAGATTACAACAACAAACACACCAAAAATAAAAATCAATAACAATTCTTATTACGAGTAATTTAAACAGCAATATATTTGTAATAAAAATATTTAGCTTAACTTACTTTACATTTTTATTTAAGGTAGTTCAAAAATACAGAAAAACGTATCCTGAGTGTACTAAACAGGCTCTAAGAACTTCGTTCATATTTATTAAATTTTCAACCCTTTTGCGGTACGGGAAGGGATTGACCAATCACGACTAAACTTCACCAAAATGTTTTACTTATAGTAATAAAAAAATTTAGGGGGTCCTGCGAACAAAATTTTTAACTTCAAATTTGAGGACACCCTAATATATACATATAGGAGTGTTCACTAAGTAAGGGAACGAGTTCCCATTTTTCTTATTGTTTGTAACAATTGATAATATATATTTCAGACCCTTAAAAGTCGACAGAAATCTGTTTAGATACTAATAACTTATAAACTGTAAAAGGTAATAAGTAAACAATATATATTTATTACAATTTTTTTTATTTCAAAAAATTTTCATATTCATTGTTTATAAAATTACCATTTTTGGTTGAAGCAGATTTCTTGTTCAAGGGATTTTTCCATGGAAGCTTCCAAAGCGTGTTCCATGAATCTGGGTAATTGACGTGAAACCATCATTAAGACGGGGCTTGATAATTGTACATTTGGTAAGTAGTTGAAACCATTAATGTCAACATCAACATTGACTTTGCCGCATTGTTGATTGTAAATGTTTTTCCTAATAGAGACATCGATGCGAATTTGGTCGACCTTAAAAGAGGAAGATTTGAACAAAGCTTGTTGTTCTCCAGTAAACATGGTTTTCAAGTCACCAGTCCATTGGATGTTATTAAGTACAGTATTGAAACGCAATTTGTAGGTTGTTGAATCCAAACGAGTGTAAGAAATTAAGTCCATTTGTCTGTCTCCGTGATGCCAATGTTTTGATCCAATGTTGTACATTTCCAAAGCGTTCATATTTTCTTGCCATTTTAAATCGAACAACTTGGAGTATTGTCCGGTTTGGATGTTATTGATTGGGGTGTTGATTTCGTTCTTAAGCTTTAACAATAATCCCTTGTGGACAGAGTTGTGTACTTCATCAGCGATGGTTCTTTCTAATACATTAAAGTACTTGCGGTCGAATTGTTCATACAAAGATTCAACTTCATGTCCTTGTTCGTTGGTGGCTACAACATTAGCGTATTCGAATTTTGCTGGTCTGTAAAGAGTTTTACCATTGCTCATTTTCTCGGTGACGTTGCTGCGGACTTTGTTTAATTCAACGACGAAATCTCCTTGTTGAAAGTTGGAGGAACCGATTTTGAATGATCCTTCAGTTTTAAGTTGGTCAAAGTTATATTGAACGTAAAGAGTGTCTCTTACTGAATCAATGACCAAGTGTTTTAAGTGACCGTTTTCAAAGTTATTGATTTGAGCGTTTTTGAAGGTGATGACTTCGCGTTGTGGATTTTTTATATGAACATTTCTAACATTTAATGGGGTTTTAAATTCGTTAATTCCAAGGTTATTAGTGAGTTGTTGTTCCTTAGTAAATATTCTGTCAATGGCGGCTATTTTCTCAACAATACCTCTGCTGACTGTTCCAGGTTGGAAAGTTTCTACATTATTTATATGCTTGAATTGCTCGCTGGATTCATCGCTTGAGTTTAATTCATCAAATTCAAAAGCCCAACCATTTTGGTAGCTATTCTTGTTGTTGAATTTGTTGTAGTAGTAGTTAGCTTCGGGATCATTGATGTCGAGAAATCCATTTCCAGACACTTGCATTAACTCTGAGCTGTCATCATATCCATAGATGTTTCTTCGGCCTAAAATAATTATAACCATATTTTCAATGAACAAATGATCATTAAAGTATAGGATTAGTACATTAATTTTTAATAAATGTATACATTGTTGGGAAGTACTCAATTTTAAAAACTATGTATTGAATTCAATAAATGAAACAGAAATATTATAAATGTTTGTATTATCTAAAATATCTTCAACAGTCCATACTTGGTTAAATCTATTGTTAATAATAAAAAATTCAAAATATACATATGATAGAATATATTTTTGTCAACATTTTTCAATTTTAAACTTTTAAAGTTATTTCAATACTTGAGGTTTATAAAAAATAATATATATTAATAAAAAAATATATAAATTAAATTAGTTTAAAAATTTTATTCCAAGTGCGATATTAAGAGACTGATTGTTTGCAAAATTTAATGCAATATTAATTAAATCAACTTACTGTTATCTCCGAAGAATTTTCTAGGTGTTGTAGCTTCAAGGGCTACAAATGCCACAAATAATGAAGCAATCAACAAAGCTGCTTTCATGTTGAAGTAGTTTGAACAACAGGAGTAAACTAATATTTTTTAAGAAATAATGGGATATTTATATATTAAAAACTAATGACTAATGAATGCATTTTGTAAACGCATGTAATTAAATTATAAAACGACGTAATGAAAATTCAGAGATAATATATTTCGACCTTTAATTATCAACAAAAAGGGCTAAGCAAGCCAAATTCGTCAAGTTTTAGTAACTTTACTTTTTATTTATCTATTTAAAAAATAGTTCAATATTAATAGATTATTGGAATCTCTGCAATACTAAATTTGCAACATCAGCAATAAATAAACAATATTTACAAGTTCAACATTTCTAAATGTATATATATTGACTATTATTTAAAAAATAAACTATAATTTATCATATAGTAATTAAAGTATAATTAATATTAAATAACATGATAAGTTATTATTTTATATATTGCTAAACGATCAAAGAAAAAATTATTAAAGCATTACGATAAAATAGTTTGGTTTTTTAAACGTTTTTAAATAGAAAAGAGTGTTTTTCTTTATGAGAGAAAAGTAAATAAGAAACTATATGATTAAAACTCTTTAGTTTTAACTAGTAGTGTGGTTGAATTTTTAACAAAAAAAACTTATTAAAAAAGAACCGCATTTTTAGATTAGAAAAAATTCAAGGGTTTTGTCATTGGGGCTTCCTTAATCTTAGTTATGTTACTACTTACCCCATAACTCTATAGAAACAATTTTATAGAAAATTTTATATTTTTCTTTTATGAATATTCACATTTATTAAAATATTAATATAAATCAATGTCGTTTAAAAACTGGCAATGAGGGAAGAAATTACAATTATCTGCTTTTATTATTGTGTTATTTTAAAATTTCATGACCAGTTTAAGAATTGATACAATATCATGGAAAACTTTGTGGTTATACATTGGACAAAATGATTTTAGTACAAAATTACCTGTTAGAATCGCTTTCCATTGATATTTTGTTTGTTCTCAACTTAACAATAATAGATTAAAAGTTAATTTAAACCTTTCTGGGTCTTTCTGTATATTTAAATAGCATTTAATTTGGTAAACTTTTTGTTATTTTCAATGATTTTCATTATAGAATGACATTTTTCTCGGATTCCTTTTAATATTAACTCTATTATCAATATTAATAAAAGTTTGAACAGAAAGATACCCTTTAATAGTGGTCATCGATTATAAAAAAAAGATTGGAACTCTGAACTCTATCTTAGGGTTTAGGCCTAAAAAGCTAACTATTCCATTTGACTTTAAGACGCCATTCAAAAATGGACAATTAAAATTTTTATACAAGGTCAATATTAAAAATATTATTTAATCAATACATTTGAGAATCATGCAGAATTAATACGCTGATTCAATCCTGATATCGACAAAATTAAAAGATATTCAAGGATTTCAGATAAATATATTTTATTTATTAAATTGACAAGAGTTTTCACAATTAAAAGAAAGTGCGATTCTCCCTTGAAAATATTAATTTTTATCGCTGAAATAATTTAAAGAGTTAATAATAAGTTTTCATTTTTTATTTCTAAAAATCTACTACTATTTAGTTGATATAGTTAAAATAAAAATTGATATCTAGTAGCAAATTATTTAAAATTAATATATATTAATATTATTTAACTCAAAAAGCAACAAAAAAAAAAATTACTAAAAATCGAGGATACGTATTTCGGGAACAATACTTAACACAAATTGAGACCCACTGACAAAAAATCCTTTTATACCCCTAGGTAACGTTATCACTTAGTAATATTATCATATTTTTCCAGTTTACTTAAGTTTAATAATGAATTTTTTAGTCGGACAAAATCCCAATTAATTAAGTTCTTTTAATTATTTACATTTTTAATTAGTTTGTTATTTTAACCCTTAAGCAGGCGCGTACCTATTTTTAACGTTCATAGTCGCGTGGGGGCCTATTAGACCCCATTTCTAAAAAAGTATAAAATATGTATAAAAAAGTTCATTTTTTTTAATTCAAAGACATTATTTGTTACCATATGATATATAAATATGGATAACAATTAAAAAATAAAAATTAAAAAATAAAAATAAATAAATTACAAAATGATGTGCATTACTAATAATTATATTACGAAAAAAAAAAAACTTAATTTTCAACATTTCATTAAAAAATTTTGGTTTGTAAAAAAATTATTTTAACTGCAAAATCTTATTTCTTAGACGGTAAATAAAAGCTTTTACTATTACAAAATGTATTTTTATTAATTTTTCTTGTATTTCTTTGAGCTCAAACACGGCTTATATTTACTAGTTTTATATGTATTTACATTTACATAATCATTTTTCTGAATTAAATTTTTTTATTATTAATATTACAATACAATTTAATTATTATAATACGAGTAGGGTCAGGAGGGGTAATTGTGAATAGTAGTAATTGTAAATGAGGTACCGATAATCAATGTGTCCACATTGTGACGGGACGTATTTATTACATGTTTTGTTCTTATTTGTTCCGTGTCATCGAGTAGTGGAAATTCTCAATAGATTATTTATTTTTAAAACTTAATTGCACAGTCGGTGGCAGATCCACATAATCGCAATTCCTCAATATTATATCGATTATAACATTGCATTTACGATAAAACGATATTTTGAAAAAAATACAAGTTCAAAAAAAAATTATAACATTATAAGTCGCGTGGGAGTCAATTTGACCCATTTCAACTTTGATGAATATTTTAAGTCATACATTTTTTTTTTTTGAAGGTATTTATTTATGAAAATCTATTCAATATTACTATAAAAACCATCTTCTAAATTTATATCTATGTACACCTTTTATGCAAATTAATAAATCCGTTATTATTTATGTGGGGGTATGCTAGACCCCCACGCGACTGTTTAAGGGTTAATGGAGTGATTATATGTCAATAAATGTTCAGTTATAGAAGATTTAGTAAGTTGATCTTACAGAATTTTTATTAAATTACACATAAAATTTAATTAAGTAGTAGCGTATGTAACATTTTTAAGTAACATTTAAGTAGTAACATTTTTCCTGGGGAAGGGAAAATAGTTTGTATTTGAAATAATTTTATAAACATCCAGGATCAACTACGTATATTAGGTATGCGTAGTAAAAATATATCAGCATCTGGAGTTTCCAGGGATTTAGAAACAATAAATAAGTCAAATAATATTCCGATTTACTACACAAGTTTTAATCTCTGTACGACTGTTTTTTCATTGATTTTATTTTAATTAGGAAGGAACCAAATTTAATTCCAAAATTTTATCAGTTCACTTAAATTCATGAAATTGGTAAATAAAGTCCCTAATTTTATGCCAGGTTAAATATTCATCACTTTTAGAGTAAATCCAGGTAAACGATATGTAGAAGGCCATCATTTAAGGAGGCCAACAAGGCCTTGCACTTTTTTTGTTAAATTAGAGTCATGTGCTTGTAAACTGTAATTGTAAGTTATTTTCGCACTTGTCCTCGTAAATATAAAGACGGTTTCGGATATGTATTAAGAAAAACAATCAAATATCTATTTTTCAACTATTATTTAATATATATTAAGAAATAATATAACAAGTGCTACGTTCCATATTCTAAGAAAATTACTTTTAGTTATCTTTTTTGCGCATATTTATGCATTAATAAGTTTAAAATCTTCATCAAATAATTTACTGCACAAAAAGATAATTAATTAATAATACTTAACGTTTTTTTTTTAATAAAAAAGATTGTATTAATCTTGAACAACATTAGTTAAGAAAATACTTACGGACGTTAAAAAGCAAAAAATATGAGGAAGCAGGATGAATAAATAATTTTTGTTGACAAAATAATTTTTTTTTAATAAGAGTAATCTATTTTTAAAATTTTTTATCTGTAGCTAAGAACAAAATGTACGTAAAATTACAAGAAAAACATTTTTTTTCATAAAATCTTTTAAATTAAGATTTTCTGGAAAAATAAGTTTCTGAAAAAATAAATAATTTTCAAAAAATATATTAAAATTATTTTATTACTATTAAATCAATTCTTTTCAAATTATGTTTATAATTTATCTATTTAGCAAAAACCGTAAAAAAAATAAATAAAAGCCATTGATTAAAGACTTTAAAATATAAACTTTAAATTTTCTATAAGATCCTAAAGAAAATTAGTGTTTTGTTCATGTTTTAAATTTATTAGTTTAAACAATATGAAAAATTGCTTGCCAATTTCAAATGGCGAATCTTGATTCTTTATAATGTAGCTTATTTAAGCTCTGGAAAAGGAAAAGTTTAAATTTGACCTTTATATGTCTAATAATACAATATAGTATAGTAAATTTATATATCTAAAATAAATAGTATAGTTTAAGTTATATCATTAAAATAATATAAGTTAAAATATTTTATTACAAATATTTTTTCAGTAAAAAATCCGTGTTTACGGAAAACATACTTTATTAGTAAATTTTGTTCCTTAGTAGTTATCATAAAATTAGAAAAATCGTTAACTAAAACGATTAAAAATTATCTAATGGGATTATGTTTCCCCCTTGCCACTTGGGTACAGGACTGGAAATATTAATAAATGAGGTAAAAAAGGTTATATTAAATTAAGATAATTAATTGATTTTATTAATTATTATGTTTATGCACACGTGCTGATGTCACAACCTTTTGGACTAATTATTTCTAGATGAAAAAAATACATTTGTTTTTTATGATTGCTTGGTCAGTTTTATACGTCATATTTGAATTACTATTGCACAAAGTCATGTGTTTTTAGAATTTAGTTATCAAACACTGATATTGAACAATTTTCATAGATAATTATATTAATAATTATATACATTAAATGTGTAAAGAATTATTTCTTAAATAATTTAATCATATATAAAACATAAGAAATTACAATATACTTACTTTTATTACAAATAAAGTTTAAATTATGTTATATAAATTGATTTTAAAACAATCGTAAAAATCATTATGTTAAGATTGTATCATAATTTTCTAATTAATATTTTATAAATAATTATTAAACGTTAATGCAAAATATTTTTTGTAGCATTCAATTC